ACCGTCTTAACAATTTCATTAAAAAATTTAAAAGTTACTAAAGTTAATTACTTATTTACAGCGCATAAAATACATATAACAAGCAATATAAAATCATTACAAAAGGATTAACTTTTAAAATGTAGTTTCAGATTACAGTATTTTGAAGTGGATCTAAAACAATTTGATCCCTGAGATCCACTTGAGCCCAAGACAAATCCTTGGAAAACAGAGGATTTATGAACATTGGTTCGAACAAAATTATTGGTAAACTTTAAGGTGGACACTATGTCTGTTTTATGCATATTGAAATGTTTAATATGACCCCATTATTTATTACTAGCTGCAAGTTTGCATATTAAGGCATGCCATTGTATCTTGCTAACCTATAAATCTTTAATAACTTTAATACTTCAATCCTTAACTTGTTTTCTATAGGCTAGATCACCTCCAGTTATTTCATTTGAAAGTAGTAATGATGAATTTTGGACATTGTTACTAATAAATCCTGATGGTAATCTCCATGAAAAGGATGCAGAAAATCTTCACTGGTTTGTGTAAGTAGCTTGATAAAATAAAAATAATTGCTTTCTGTGATGCCAAAAACATGGCTAAAACATGTCCATCCAAAAAACTGATAAAGAGGCTTAGTATCAGCTGACTTGGGATAAATTAGAACTTACTTCTTACTTAGGCCCGTCACCCCATCTGGGGTATAGGCCGTCATTGATTTTCCTCCAGAGTTTTCTTTCCTTGGCTTTCACCTAGTTCTTTCCAGGTGTAGCCTGTCCTGATGTCTGTCTGTAGGTCCCGTAGCACCCATCGCCAAGTGTTTTTTTTTTTTTTTTTGGCTTCCTCTTCTCGGTTTACCCTGTGGGTTCCACGTAAGAGCCTGTCTAGTGATGCTAGATGTTGGTTTTCTTAAAGTGTGTCTAATCCATCACCATTTCCTTCTGCCAAATTCATCTTGTACTGGATGCTGTTTTGTTCTCTCCCATAAATCCACATTGCTGATTTTCACTGGCCAAGGTATTTTTAAAATTTTCCTTAGGCAGTTTTGATGAATGTCTGAGGTTTGTTAATGATTTCCTTTGTCATTCTCCATCTTCATAAATTAGAAGAGTGTCTCAATAATTATGGTCTAGTAATTGTCTAGAATTATTATATACTAATTATTTGTTATTGTAATTGTAGCTTCTACTAGCCCTTGATATCAGTTACTTTGTTTGCAATTGCAGAGCCAATATACCTGGACAGCACGTTGACAGTGGTCAAGTACTCTGTGACTACCTTCAACCATTCCCACCAAAAGGGACAGGCTACCATCGCTTTGTCTTCTTGCTATTCAAGCAAGAAGGAAAACTTGATTTATCAGAAGAACAAAGGCAACTACCATGGTAATTATTTAATTAAATGCTATTTCAACTTAATTTTTTATTGATACAAAGGCCATCAAGGGCTATTATCCACAAAAAACGTAATATACAATAATATAAATTAATGAATTTACTAGCTGAATTAAGGACGTTGTATGTATGCAATAATTGGAATTAGTTTATTTACAAATGGTAAATATTGTGTTGTCTGTTTACACACAATATTCTTTAGCACTATTAGTCTCATACAGTAGATAAATTGTCAGAAAATCACATACCACTTCAGGAGTACCAAGTTTCTCGCAAGTTGCAAAAGTGTCCTGGTATTCAAGACAGCCTCCTGTAGTCGAGCGAGCAAACACGATTCTCTCAGAAAATAACCTTTCATAATATTTCCATGTTTTTACTGTATTTATTATCAATTGCCTCCTGGGTTTCAATGCTGATGGGTATCACCATATTCAGCTAAAATACTATAAGGTTTACTAAGAAGCTCATTTAACATGCTCTCCTGGATGTGGCTTCTTGTGATCCCTGCAACTTCCAAAGTGCTCCCTGGGGAGTATCCCTGGTCATTGCTGCTTGTACGCACGCGACCCGTACATTCAATGCCATACCATCCTACCTGGTACCCATTTATACTCCTGGTTGGAGAAGCAAACATAAGTAAAATGCCTTGCCCAAGGGCACAAGCAATGCGATGAGCGTCGGTCTCAAACTTCCGATCTCAAGATCAGATGTCCAACACCTTGCATCAAAGTTACGCTAGCCTTTGGTGCCTTAACTTGCTTTTAGGAACACAATTTTGGATGCATTAAAGCCACTTCTGCAAAAGATCACTATGTGATACAAGAAGGCTTAGGGGATGTGATGTTTTTAGAACCGAGTCTATGTACATGATTGAAAGATGAGTTTGTGAACCACCAGTTCATAATAAATCTGATAATCTTTACAAAATATGTTTTAAGAGCAACCATTTATAAATTATAATATGAATTAACACATTACTGATAATCGTATTCACTATTTTGGATTTTATTTTGCAGTCGTAATTTGCATAAAAGAACTTTCGATACATTAGAGTTCTACCGAAAATATCAGGATGTAATTACGCCAGCTGGGGTCAGTTTCTTCCAGTGTAGATGGGACACAACAGTAACAGATGTTTTCCATCATGTACTTGGTAAGTCTGTTGGGAAAGGGAGGAATGTTGATTGGGTTTTTTTTTGCACAGTAGTCTTAACTCCACCATATTAAACATGTTGAAGTAGAAGGTGAAGTAGAAGAAAGTTGAATGTTAGCTTGATATAGCAGTTCATTGTGATGGCACATTTTGTATTAAGTAACTTTAAGCTTTAGAAAATTGAGTATGGTGAATTGGGATTTTTGAATGTTAGTAGCCTGTGTTTTTCTTCTTGCATATGACAAACAGCACCAAACAAAAATTAACTTCATTTTTTTATATATTACTGTATTATTTTGCAATTTCAATACATTTTTTTTTTTCGAGACTCTGAAAATATTTTGTAGGAATAAAATTGAGTATTGTGCATGACATGACAGGACCCTTAAGGGAAAAGTAAGTTGTAGGAATGAGTAGTCAACATTCGTCGGGCCAAAGCCTTTAAATGTGAAGTTGGCCCTCCATCAAGCAGAAAAAGAATAGTGCGTACGTACTATTCTGTAATATAAATTTACTTCCAAAAGAAGGCCATCTGAACACCTTCAATGTTTCTAGTCCTTTGAGTATATTATATAAAGTGCATATTGTCTTAATACTCCTAGGATGTAAGAGGTCCGAATTACTTCATACATTTCATTTTGTTGTTTTGTATTTTATTTTTGATTAGTCTTATTTATGAATTAATGTACTGGATTATGTCAATGTAATTGCTATGGATGGTTTGATTTGATTCACAGAAATGCGAGAACCATCATATGAGTATCACCCACCACCCCTGTACATTGCACCACAAGTAAAGTGGCCACGCAAGAAGCCTCTGAAATACCTGAATAAATACTTACCACAAGAATGATGCAAAAAATATAAGAAAGGCTGGTGAAGAGCTGATGGGAACTATGCTGGAGTTTGGAGAATGATGAATTTAATTCTCTTGTTGAGCAAAAATGTGCTGTCTGTCATAAACTAAAAAAAATTAAATTCAATATTTGAGTATAGCTTGTGAGGGAGCTATGTGGGAAATATTGAATGTAAAGGAATCATAGATAACACACCGTTGATGACCGGCACTAGCTGCAGTGCTTGATGCAGTGCTTGAGAAAGGATAGCTGATTTTGCATCTGAAACATTGCCAGTATACAATACAATTTTCATTTCTGTGTAACACAAAGAAAATTCTTTAAAAATATACAGTATCTACCGATACCAGATAAAATTATTCCAAGAATTATTAATAAATAGTCTATTAAAAATTTAAACAGATATTTCTTCTTCTTTTTTTTTTTCTTTTTTTTTATGGCATACAGAATATCTTTAACTGAAGTATTTCAGGTTTTCATTAAACTTTTGAACTTTTATTAAAAATAGGGGGAAAAAAAATTCATCTGACAAATATGACAAAATATTTGGGGTTTTTTGTGCTACTTACCTACCAGTCATAGAAAATCATGAGGAAGGCATATATCCTGTGGAGCAAGTTTATTCTTTCTGTCTGTTACTGCTTCAAAGTTTTTATTAATCTCACTTTTTCCCCTACCAGTGGTGGATTCAAAGGGAGGGGAGGGGAGTTCAAAGACAGACCAGTCCCCCCTCCACCCTCTAAAAAAAAATAAAGAAAATAGGAAAATTTTATATCAAATTTAGGTCTGAGAGTGCCATTTCCAGCCACCTAAAAGTACCATAATCATAAATTTGCTTACCTCAGCCCCAACCATGGTGGGGCTAATAAGATTTCCCATGGGCTATCTGTGAAAGTCGGTTCCTGGGCCCCCTCTATTTCCAATTCCTGGATCCGCCACTGCCTACCAATTCGAAATGTATTTAAAAAAAAACCCGGCAGGAAAGTACTGTATATTTCAAGTTCACCTATCAATTCAAGACCCATATTGGGACCTGAATATGTGGGTTGGTCTCCAAGTAGAGAGTTAGAGTTGAGGTAAAAGGTTGAATATTTTTTGTAAAAGTGGTCTTGAATTAGAGGTGTCTTGAATTGGAAGGCAAAATTGGTATATGAGCCGTTTCTTGTCAGCAATGTTCTTGTTAAAGTGGCGGCACCGAATAGTCCTTATCCGAGAAGACTCGGTTCTACCAATTGAACCATGGGCGAGGAGTGGCTGGAACCAGCGCCGATGTTAAGGCTGTAGCCAGCAGCGACCCTGCCTTACCACTCGACTCGCATGTATTTTGATGTTGGAGATGGCACACTCTACAATATTAATGTGCATACAATTATCAAAGCATACAATTAGATTTATTTATTATAGCCACGAAGAGACAATAAATTAGCACCATATTCACATACTGAATAACTGGACTGGAGGTCCAGTGTATACATCTGGAACCCATTGCATCTTTCGGAAGAGTAGGGGGTTACCCCGATGTTATGGTTCATTTCAGCCCCTGTCGTTGTGGAATGATGTGAACATGTATCTACCAAGAAGCGCCTCTTTACGGCTGCTAGGTAGTCACGGACCACGCCCATACGCAATTCAGCACAATGACTCAAGTTATGGGTTATTCTGCTACCTTTACCTCTATCTTTTATGATACATCAGTGCGATAATCAGGGGAGACAACAACACATCTGGAAAGGATAAGGTAATGCCTACCTCTAATGCAACCCCTTAGTACAAATTCTATTTGGTAGAGACTAATGAATTCATAGAGAGGAATGGTAGGCGAGGGAGAGATGATAGATCAGTGGGTTAAAGAGGAATGAGAGATATAGATTGATGGAGGAGTTTTCTCCTGGTGTTAGTAAATACAGTACAAGGATGGCACGTCCTTAGTTAATTAGCCGAGTATATTGTATTGCTCAAAATGTTGGGTATTAGCGATATCAACTTGTTCATAGCAAAGAAATTGACAGTGGCCGCCAGGCTTGGTTAAAAAAATTGTGCTTCCAAATACGAAAATGTCTTGATAAAAGGCCTCAATCACCAAATGTCGTCTGTGGTTGTCTGGAAAAACGTTTTTTTTGTTTGTTTTTTTTTTAATATACCTGTGCAATGTCTCTGAGCGATGGTAGATTACAAAAAAGAAAATCTACATATTTTTCTTGGAAATAAATAAAAGGGACATTACAAATGCTGTATTAATAACATATTATTATAAACACATCCTTAATGGGTTCACCTATAATAAAAGGTACAGATCCATTAAGAGAATTTTGCACAAGCATCAATACCTTGACTTATAATCTATCCCCACAAAAGGCTATAAAAATTGTACAAATTTGTAATCTATGAAGGGCATGGTGGATCAAGATATCGAGTTACTGTGAGATGATTTAGATTTTTAACATGTTTTATAGAAGTTATAAGGAAGCTTATAGATGTGTTATTTATTTCTTCTATTGTCTTAGGAAGTTTTTGTTTTTTTTTACAATGGGGTTTTTGTATATTGGGTATTGTTGAGTGTGACCTTATATCTGAGGTACTACAGTCCACATGTATGAATGAATACAGCAATCACTAAATTTTAATCAATTTGGTTTTAGGCTTTGTAATTCCTGTACTCACAATAATCGATACCACAAGTTATTTGTCAGACATTTAATAAATTCAGCTTATCTCAGTAACATCTTTTACTATATTTAACTGATTTTTACATTTAAAAAAAAGCTAAATTGCATAAATACGGTATGTAAAATAAAACATCTGAAACCCTTGAATAACAACAAAGACCATCATTTTTATGTAAAGTTAATTTATTTTATCATAATACAGATTTCAATAAAGCTTGTTCTCTTAAAAGTAATCACATAATTACATGTAATGAAGAGCAGCATCTCTTTTCAATCAATATTTCTACTCTGATTACACAAGAAAACTTGATATACCATAAATTTTAACTGCTGAAACCTGATCAAGTCTTAGGATAATTGTAGCCAAGATTATGTTACTGACACTGATCTATGAGCATGCAGTCAGTATCTATATATTCTATAGGAAATGTTACTCACCATACATCACTTTCAAACTACATGATGTTTTGTAAAAACACAAATGAACCTTGCCCTTTCCTTATATGTGTTTTGACTTCTCTGCAAGTTCACTAGAAGATGCGATTTTTATATTAAATTATACTTGCCTTCCATCCACCATCCAATACTATATGTATACAAAGATTGTTAATTCTGAATGGATCATCTGTTTATAAATAATAAATCAGATTTAAAACCTTGTCATACTTAAGCTATTCATAATTAGCTGCATTACTCCAAGAGCAATAAACATATGCAGTTTATATTCTTTCACTGAAAATCCTTAATATGTGATCTGGTGAGTTTTCAGTAAGGTCTTTATGATAAATATCAACATCACATTTGCCTGTTATTCATGTACCTGGAAAAGACCTTGTGAGGCCCAGAGGGATAAGCATAGAAAACTGGCCAACAGAAAAGCTTAATCCAACCTGCACCTCCCATGCTATATCTAAATTGTTGATTATCAAATAATACCAATAAATACAGTTTTGAAATACTACCATCAAATCAACTGTTACCACAGGAATGCAAGTTCCATTCTATACACCTATACAATATTTTACAGTTTGTTGTTAGCCTATATACTTATTACAAAAGGAATAGGCCTTTTTTGTACACTAATATAGATTATTGCACAAAGATAAAATTTCGAGTGACTAACCTTCTACAATACAATTTTTTACATAGGAAAAAATATTCACTAATACAATAAACACACTAGAGACACAAAATATATAATTGTGACATTGTAGATATATGAATTTAATTAAAATATTCTTCCTCTACACCATTGCAATTTGAAGCACACCAGAATATTTACGATTTCATGGCTGGTAGAGCTAGGCCTACACACATTTACCAAATAGGCCTACTGTATATCATTAATGTTGCCCACATAGTTCAATATTTGTCCAGTGTTGGACAATCATGCAGAATACATATAGGTGAGACGTTTTTACATCTTGTTTTGTGAACCTGCCGCCACGGTGATGATAAACAGATGAAATTAAGGCTGAGGGGTTTGACTACAGCAAGTCGAAGACACAACAGATAAAAGCACACACCCTTGTGGCAAGCTTATGGACTTGCAAGCACAGGAAGACTAGTTGGACTCCAGTAACAAAAGCTAAATACACCAGATTGCATCAAACAAAATATTTGGAACAATTGGGGTCAGTGGCGGTGCCAGTGGGGGAGGGGGGCAGCAGCAGGGGTCAAGTCCACCGGACAGGTCAAGCCCCACCCCATCGGACAGAGCTCGTCGGGCAGTTGGACTAAAAAAATATATAAAAATAGGCCCATTCCAAGCCAACACATGTCATGTGTCATTTCTGGCCATCCAGAGGTTGCTATTCTTAAAAAAAATCTCATTTTGGGGGGGGGAACTCTCTCAAACCCTTCCCCCAGCTTGAGCCTACGAGCTCAGCCCCAAAAAAAATATATCCTAGAGCCGCCACATCTCACCGGCACCAATATTTTACAGGATGGAATTTTAGTACACACTGACCTACTAGCAAAAGCTGCTGAATAGATCAAGTAAATCCGGTAAACAGGGGTGGCACCAGGAAAATTTTGCAAATTTCCCCGACGAAAGTAAAGTGGGCGTGGTGGAGCTTTGATAAAAGGTCATGAAGGGGCAAACATTTTGACAATTTAGGTGTTTCAAAGGCTTATTTAATCGATGTACTATATATACATTATATTTCCATAAAAACAATACTTTAATCCCAAACATACTTCGTTAGAATCAAAATTAGTGTATACAGATCTAAAATTATTTTATGAAATAAAAATACATATAATTTTTTTGGTCCCCGACGAATTGTCCTTTTTCTCCCCAACAGGGGCCCCTGGCCTTCCACCCCTTGCTGGCGCCACCCCTGCATCTAATTCAGTTCTTACTCGGACCTGGAAAAATCTGGAAAGGGATACCAAAAAAGAAAAGGAAAACAAAAAAAAAAAAACAATAAAAAAAATAAAAAATAAAAATGAAAAAAAAAATAAATTTTAAAAAAATAAAAAAATAAAGGGAAATAAAATATTTAACTACAAATAAACAAAGTGTGCCTTAAACTAGTTAGTCTTGATTTATCTAAATCCTTGCTTCAAGGATCATGATTGAAGTGGTGCATGCTCAATTCACAGTTTACCTACAATACAGATCTTTATTGTACACATTTATTCATGCTACTGAGACCATTCATGACTCTGACTAAATATATAGTATACAGTAATCCACTTGTTATTGGAAAGGACTCCAACAGAACATTTTTCATCTATATATAAAATATTAATCATTGGAATTCTGACATTTTGGTCATGCTTAAACCTGAAAAACATCAAGTATTAATGGAAAAATATATGTTTATCAGCACCAGAATATTAAAAAGTACATAGAGTAAAAAATAATCAAATATAAGAGTTAGCTAATAATGCCACAAAATACTAGTAAGTTAATAAGTATTGTAAATATAGTGACATAATTGTGGTATTACTTATCAACAGTAAAATGAAAAAGGTGGAAAGGATATTTAGACTTTATGCCCCGTATGAAAAAATTTGGAATAACATTCAGATATAAAGACCAAGCATTATTATTATTATTATTATTATTATTTAAAAAGTTTTTTATTTTGCCATTCAGACAAATATGCACTCACACAATACTAATCAAGAAAAAAATATTACTGTACTTTCTATTAGAAATTGGGTTCAAAAGATGCCCTGTTTGGTTCAGAGAGGAAGAGACAAATCCCCTGAAGCTGTGAAGCATTCTACCGTGGAAATAGTGAATTTGATTATAATTTTGATAGTTTTTGATGGTAGCAAAGATTGGTTTATCAAGTGGAGGATCACCCTAGGAGGGGGATTCTGTCAAACTACAGAAATCCTCAGTTACATGGTGCATACAATTGTGTGAGATGTATGTGTTGAGATTTGGACCTCAAATAAAGAAAAAATAAGAAATGGATTTTAAGTAGACTTATACAGTAATTATATATTAAAAGAAGGCAGTCTGTTTGTTGGATGTATTAATATACGTAATTTATTTTCATTACATTTCCATAAAAAACTAATACTTAATTCCCAAACATATTTGTTTGTACTATATTTACATTATATTTCCATAAAAACAATACTTTAATCCCAAACATACTTTGTTAGAATCAAAATTAGTGTATACAGATCTAAAATTATTTTATGAAATTGTCTGAAGAATTTAATCCTTTATGAAATTTTTTAAAGTATTCAAAGAAAAAGTCTTTTAATGTTTTTTTCATATGAGCATCATAAATAAAAAATATAGATTTAATTACAATTGTTTTATTTTACTTGATAAATATTTTACATGATTTTATTATAAATTTTGTATTAATTAATTATGCATGCATGATTGAGGTGTATTCACCAGATGATAATACATGGAAGAAGGTGATGTTATTAATGGAGCTCAACATAAGACAGTCAATTATATAAATCAAATTGAGACCCTTCAGCTACAACAAAAAAAGGAAAAGGTTTGTTGTTCTTTTTTCCTATTCTTTATTTGCCAAAAAACGTACCACCATATGATTGTACAGTACTTGATTTTTTTGGCAAATAAGGAATAAACACAACAAAACTTTTCCAGTTATATAATAATTCTCTCTTCAGCATAAGACATGACCTTCCTGCCACAAGAATTAAAGTTATAATCTTAATTACAGTACATCATTATTCTCACTGCCAATACCACACTTTCTGTCATATGCTAAGTTAATATTTACTAAATATCTATAACATTACACTACCCTTATGCTATACCCCTTCTGCTACAAAGACATCCTACCACCCACCACCAATATTTTTCCTGCCACCTGAACTATTGCAGACACAAGCACCATTGCGCAGTACATTTGCACCAGCAAATGTAAAAGAGCTTCTACAACAGATTGCACTTTATGTAATAATCCAAAAATGGGACTCCATTTATTCCACTGCACATATTTCATTTGCATTAATCTACACTGACCCTAAGTTTTGTGGCATGAATTGACCTAATATCAAACACATGCCTCTAGTGATGCCCCTAATACTTCCCTCAAGAAGAAGATTAAGTATTATAAGGCTCCAAAAAAAATTTGGTCCTGTTCATAGAAAGCCTAAGATAAACTCCTTGTGTTGTTCTGCTAACATGGTAGCAATCTTTTCCGCTAACATATTTTAACAAAAAAATTAGGTCTATATTATTCTATTACGCTCAAGCATCAAGGTTGTAGATGATAGGCTAGTTTCTTAAATTGCAATCAGCAACATGACAGGCAAAAAACAATATGAAACTGAATATGAGATATAACCAAGTGGTACGTGCTCTAACCCAAATGACTAAATCATACAATAGCAACACATTAAAAAAAAAATAGTTCAACGTGTGTTATGTTACACAAAAATATCAAGGATATACCAAATACCAACTTGGGCAATCAATATGTGAAATAATAAAAATGTTGTACTGCATTTTAGTTTTTCTAGATCATGTTGTATCACTTTGCTTGCTGTCGTTCCAATTCTCTTAATACACTGTTTCATTTTACGATGAGCGAGTGACATCACCATGTTTACAATCAATCAAGCAGCTTGGTTAATTAGTCCATCACAGTGGAGCAACAATCAAGACAATTTGTATCCCATAATTGAGCAGCTCCTTAGACAGTTGTACTGATAATGCATTGTCTGGCACAACCTTGATATATGAGTTCACTTCAATTAGCACCATTAGGCTGACATACGAATTATAATCGGCAGACATAGCAAGCACTTGATCACCATCATTTGCCTGCTATGACTTTAATCTTTAGCATTTATGTCGGACAACATGGGTTATCCAATATAAGCAACACATCAATTCCGTAAAGTTCAAGTAAGTCCATGATAAACTGACGGTCACCAATGGGATCCAAGCCCATAGATTTCATGTGATCAGAGGTCAACGATTTGTCTTGCGTGATTGAAATATCTAGCAGTGTCTGGAATATATGGTTGTTCATCTCAAGGAAGAACCTGTCAAAGACAAACCAGAGTTATTGCGATGTTAGTCTCAAAAATTAATTTCATACAGTGTACCCAACTCACGGGATCATTGGTTCAATAATGGAGAGTCAATGGAGATTCACCTCCATTAAGTGGAAAATTTCTTGACCACAAAACAAAGGAGAAGGATATTTTTACACAACAGCCAACCCCTATTTAGGGCACAACCCTATTAAGAGGACACTTTTTTTTGGTCCCACAGGTGTTCCCTTAACATTGGTTCTACTGTATTTAAGCTTCTTCATAACATGGAACATTACATTAAAAAATCTTGATTTTAATATATACTGATTGTATATTATTATGATGATGATGATGATGATGATGATGATGATGATGATGATGATGATGATAAAATATAAATAAAAATCAATAGCAAAAATAACTTACGTAGCAAATACTTGGTCATCTTGCATTGCATCCTCACCTAGTTCTTGCGCTCGGAAAAGCTGAGCGCTACGCTGGTTGTTCAGTTGATTAAACTTCTCCTTATCAGTAGGACATATTTTCAACATATCTTTCAATGTGTTTGATTGCACAACTAGATTTTGATTATCTACATAAACATCATAGAGATCTTTCTTTTCAAGAAAGATCTTCTCAGTTGTACCTTAAAGAGAGAAAGTAACAATGTCATAAACTAATAACAATAATATATACTGCATAGATTCTATGTAATAAAAATAAATATGAATGGTAATTAAAACGAAAAAGAATGTGAAAGTGTTGATAGTTTAAAGGTGATTGTACCAATGAAATGTAAACGATGTATTGTTCCCTGAAAATGACAAAAACTCATTTTAATTTTAAAGAATTTAAAATTAACTTGCTCATATTGCAGTAACATACAAATTATATTAACTTGAGCATAGAAATTATTCTGATTTTTATACTAGATAAAGATAAAAAAATCAAGGGTAAATCATTTAATATTATGGGTAAATATTTTTTAAATACAAAAATTTCTATATTATTATATATATTCATATTGAAAAAAAAAATGTTTTTAATAAATGTAAAAAAACCAGATTAAGTTTTGTTTTTTTTTAAATTTTGTGTTTTTTTATTTTGTGAACAAAACTACAGTGATATTAGTCAAAAGCTGAAAACTTTAGATCCTTTGCTTTCAGCCTTTAGCCAAAGATATAAATTTTATATAATAATAATAATGTCCCTCTTATATAGCGCTTCATGCACAATTCCTCCAAGCGCTTCACATTACTACCCCGGTCATTGGATTGGATATATTAGTAAATTTGGATAGATGAATCTGCATCAGTCAATATACTAGTTTGTTTATTTCATTGACATTAAACAACCTTCCAACTGTATGACAACTACCATACTCACATGCTACATAGGACAAATCTGATTCTAAATTCTCGATGTCTGCAACATTGATATAAAACTGAGGTTTCACCTCCACCTCATTCTCCATTCGAACTGTATGATTTCCTAAAACACTTGCACAGTACACTGAAAAAAAAAAAAAGAAATCAAGAATCCATCAATTGACAATAACTAACAGAATAAATAAATGTTTTTGTTTGAATGAATTTGATGCCCTTGTAAAAATATATGATTTATTACCGTGGGACCTAACTCTGACTACATAGGTTACTTGCCAGCTAGTATCCCACTACATCACCGCCACTGTACAAGGAAATGGTTGAATAAATGAAATAGCATATGTACTGTATAGGCATGCAATAACAAAAAAAAAGAGATATTTATACATTACCTCTGTAACAAACAACTCCAATAGGTGGTGGTGAAAAGAATATAATCCGTTTCCGTAAGAGGACAAACTTCCAGATCGTGAATATATGCTCACCAAAGAAATTGATGAACTGGGCAAAACAACCTGCAGGATGAGTTATCTACTCAAGAAAGAAAGGACAAGAAGAACCAATGAGATTTAAGACAATAATCAATGGTAATTAGAAATAAAACATTTGTATTTGAAAAGCAAAACCATTCACAGTCTTAAATTTGAGATTATAGAATTCTTATCTGTTGACTCAAGAATTATACAAGACTTATAAACTATAAACCTATTTACCTTCATTTCAGGTAAGAGTTCAGATGAGGAAGGGGATGCGTTAGGCGTGTTGCCTAATGATGTGTACGATAAGCTCCTAGAGCTGGGTAGCGACCCTCTGTGGTCTGCATAGAAGGCTTTTAGCTGTTCATAACGTTCTGGTGTCTCTAGTTGGTGTCTGGGAAACCAAAGGAACATTACAAAAATTTAAATATTTAGGCAAATAAATAAAAACAAAATTGCATAACATTTGAAACAACATTTAAAACTATAAACATTATAAAACTTTAATCTTGCTGTACATTTTTGATATTTGCTAAAAATAAATCTAATTATGACAAAAATATTTCCATATTGTAATTATCATAAAAAATGCAACGACAATGATGTCCAAAATTCAGTTGAAGGCCATGGTTCAGAACTACAGTTGTACTGGTGTATCTATCTAGAGTAGCAGTGAAGAAAATGGAACATGAGTGATGAAAGGATTTTTGAATCACTTGAGTGAAATTTATCAATCAGCAAATTTTCAGTCCCCATAATACATACAGACAAACCATTTCATTTAATTAACTTCAGCAGTGATTTCAGATAACTTTTTGTTCAATTTTACTGTGTTATCTTCCTACTAATATCTGTTGTGATGTGAACTCTAATGATACACACACAAAATTGACATTTAACCATCTAGAAAAATCACCGACTCCAATGAGGTAATATAGATAGTACCCTCTTTGCCGATTCCAAAACACAAATTTGACCTTTTATTTCTCCAAGTAGCAACACACCAAATTGATATATTTTGCTAGGAGCTAACGAGAAAATGACTACAACTGCATATATAGAGCTAATTCTAACTAGGCGAGATCAAACATTCTAAGAAATTATGCAACCACTTGTTATTAGCTGTGTTGCATGAGGCATCAACATTTACATCGCCAAGAGTACTACCTCTGTTATCATGAAATTTAACCCAATTATGGCAGGAAGTGTCTCAAGTTCATCACTGTAAACATCAATTATAATTTCTTAATTTCTTTGTTATCCACAGATTCATTGAGCCATGATGCACTGATTGCAATGACGGAAGCATTTGCTTTCATTGCGAGAATGCATACTTCATTGATTTTAGGCACAAGGCTTGCTGATATTAAGATACAGAAATATGACGCCCTTTACATTTAAATGCTTGAGCAAGTTTGGGAATTCTGGTAAAATTACTCTGTTCAATAGTATACAGTACTTCACTCGCATTGGCCTCATCCATATTATTAAATAGTGTTTATAATTTATGGAAAAATAGGCACATGTTCATCCATCATAAATATCAATAGCCCTGCTGGTTTTTTATAAATCTCAAGTACTCAGTGTCAAAGACATAAATCTCCTGTTGATTTTAAGTAAAAAAAAAACACATGATAAAACTTCGAGTCTGCGTCTTTTTTTTTTTCAATTCTTTCTAATCCAACAGCATGTAACTCACCATTTACAGGATGAAATGATGCTTTCTAAGTTAGGTCTCGGTCTCTTTTTGGCTTAGGGAGTGGAGATGCTTTTAGTTGTGAATAAAAAAAAAAAACTGTCACAGGAAATGAACTTTTTCCACGCCTACAAACAACTCCACTCCCTTCTGTAATAATTTTTTTTTTTTACTTTTTTGTGTTATCGTAAGACATTTGCAATACAGACAGTATATAACTGTGATTGTTCACTTGTCTGGCTTGTATTCCATAACGTAATTACTTCGCTCTACTCTCGTTTCATTTATTGTCATTTGCATACACCTGTACAATACACACTGACATTTGTTTTGCTCAGTGAGATCACTTATGTCCATACTCTGCTGTTTTCGCAGGAAGAAGGTAATCTCTAATTGTAGTAGAATTGCATTGATGAAGAGTATTGATAAGATGTTTATGCTTGAATTTGTGATGGTGCTGACACATAAAATCCATGAATTTTTACATAATGTATAGATTATCAACATCTACTTAAGGGTATAAATGATATAACCAGAGATACAGTCATTTTTTACAGGTTTTAAAAAACATAGAATCATTAATATTTAAACTATTCCCCATAGAAAGCAATTTACAGTAGGTTTAGTTACCGACATACATTTTCAATTTCAATTTCAATAACTTTATTCCAATATAAATATTAACAATATAATTATCAGCAAAAGAAATACAATGGTAGCAGAAAAGGAATAGGTTACAAAATAAGCAAGAAAAATGCTTTAACAATTAAATATGTAACTTAATTATGTAAATTAAACTAAAATTAAACAGCAATGTGACACTTGTGGCATTCACTGAATTTTAAATTAGCTTTTAAATTACCAGTGGATAGACTAAAAGTCTACAGGCTACTCTCTAGTCTATGACAGTGAAAACAAATACAACGGGTAGCACTTTGTTTTATTTCAAACACAAGCTACTTATGATGGTGACTGCAAGTATTTATTCAGGTGTATTTTGTGATTTCTGGCTTATTATCATCGTCCAGTACAAAATAAAATTTTTGGCTGGTTTAATTAATTTTTGGAATTCAGAGTGAATGTAACGTCGTTTCAGACTAAATGTTACGTATACTGTACAAGACTGTAAATAATTACGTTAGCATTATAATGAGATTAATCATTATGTTTGTATGAGTTTATTCATCCAGCATGATTGTTAGGGGCTAGACTCTTTGTGGTATAAGATTAACAGATAACTGTGATGTAATTACATGTTGTTTGCCTTCAGTGAGCTTACTCAGTTTCCGATAAAACTACAGTATGATCAACACTGATTACTATAATACCGACGTATAAAATGAAATTAAAACAGCTAACCGCATAACTTGACATGACGTATCTCCTTTATCTGATAATTATAATTTAATTTACTATAGTGCAGTACAATAGACCTCCGAAGTACAAACACATCTTCCTGTACTTTCGTACAATATCTTAATCTTAACTTAACATGAATCACATCAAAACACTTAATAAATTAATTAAAATGGTATACGGTACTGCACGTAACTGTACTTGGTATCACGCTATAGGGATGGAACACATGTACTGTACTCGAATAAAAATTATAACAGTAATTGTTTTTATATATTACAGTTTAGTAGGGGAAGGTTTCGGCTGATCTGAAGTGAGTTCAATAGACAAAGGTGATTTGACCTGAACCATAGAAATCTGAATTCTCATGGTTAGGCTAGACTTTTTTTTATACCTTGTTTTAAGTGAACCCGCCAACTGCAAATATTGATGATTTCGAAGAAAAATAAAATTTTATTTTTGGCAAATTAGCGCAGCTGCCACCACGAAAAAGTGGAAATTTCAGAAAAAAATTAATTTAAAAAAAAAATTATTATGCCCTCCGCCACCTTGAAATCTCCAAAGATAAGATATGTATATTTCTTCATAATTATATAAATTTGAAGCATTTAACCATCCTATTTTACATTCACCATAAAAATTTTATCTTTATTTGCTCCTCTGTCTAGATGATTTTGGCAAAACTATTTGCTAAATAAGAAAACAAAATTTTATTTTTATTTTTATTCCGCCCACCTCCGATAATCTTTAAAAAAATAAGTATGCGAAACAAGGGATAAAAAAACGTCTTGCCTTTACCCGTCTGATAACGTTTCTCATTTTCAATATTTTAAGTACATTACAACAAAACTGTCTTCATCACACTGGTACAGTATTACTCTTGCAGTAGTGTATCAGTATCAAGGCTGTGCAGGGCAATATAAACAAGGCTACTGTAAACTAGATATGGAAGCTTATGCAAAGGCATATACGATACAACATTAAAATTTGGTACTGTTTAGAAATTTACCCATCAATCAATACATCAACTCGGGAAAACTTCCCCTTTTTGAATTCCATCTAATGAGGCTTCTAGTATGAGGATGATATTCGATCATCGATTACAATGTAACTAGATACATAAATATCAGCAAATCGGTGTCTTATCACATACATGATATCAAAACCTTCCATATTTTTAACTGATTAAAGCAACCATCGTATGTATAGTTTCTGTTGAACATGGCTGCATGTTTTTCCAGATTTAGCGCACATTATTGTATCTCCATTGACTATTCCAGTTGCTTTTCAATGAATATTCAACTCATCCTTCTCATTTAATAAATAATATACTTCTATTCTCTTTCTTCAATAGTCAACCCTGCTTAATTTTAATATTTTTTATTAATTCATATTATTATTATTTGAAGCACTCCAGTTCATAGATACAATAGTAATATGCAAATCAATTTATAGAAGTGTGTGAGGAAAGGTTTGCAGTGCTTTTTCTTTTCATGCAGACTTTGTAGTTCTCCTACTATGTGCTATGATAGACGGCAGTGCAAATAAGTAGAAACAAAAAAGCAAAAAAGTAAATCGGATTTTATTACGCATGCATCTCATATCTTTGGTATCTCACAATCCCCTTTAGACAGTTTGTACAACAAACACATCATGGCAAAATCTATCAAAAACAATCCACCCCACCCTGGTAATCATCACTTGAGCCAACATACCAATTAATAATGCATTATACTTTTAATTGTAGCTGAGCATTTTATTTTTATTGTTATTCATTACTACTGTATTCACCTCTACTCATTGCAATTTTATTACTTTTTAAGTACTTTCACAACAAATTTTCAAATCTGAATATTAAACTGAAAAACTTTAAATACTTTTCTCTTCTCACCGTTATTATCACAGTACTGTAGAATAGTTTGTAGGATGACAGTACAGAAATAGCAGAGTTCTTAACTACTACGCACATAAGCAGACAGCCAAGAGACAAATGTAATGAATGATGGCTGTGTAAACGCACATTACTTAACCTACCTGACTTGATTTTCAAGAAACTGCATGTGCCTATATAATGTGGTGTATGATGTTGCTAGGATACCAACAGACTTCATCCTTGCTCCTCGCTCTTCTAAACTGTCCACAGTCATCTTCTCATAACAACTTAGACCATAATAGTTATCTTTCTTGAAGAATCTGAATGAAAATAAATTTATCATTTATCAGTACCTTAACTCAACATGGGTGATTCCACAAATGTGGGGTCAGTGGTAAAATCCAATGGGCTGTACATTCATGGATATTTGTTCATGTTTTGACAATACACAGTAGCGAATAAATGGTCGGTTCAATTCAAAATTATAAGAAAATAATGGAGAAAAAGAAAATTATATTCAAATTGAATTCTGAGATTGCCATTTCCAGCCACTTAGATGTGCCACAACATAATTATTTCTTACCTCAGCCACAACCATGGTAGGGACTGAGGTGGTATACACTTGAAAATCCATCCCTGGCCCCCGTCTATTTCTAATTCCTGGGTCCGCCACTGGTACATGTTCATTTATTATTATAATTGTATTTTTTATTAAAACATGTTTGTTGGTTTAAGGAAAAATCTGAATTATTTATTTATTTTTTAGGAGGAGACAATTTGAATTGAGGAGAAATAATCTCATTACTCCTTGTGGCGACAACACTGAACTCAGAACTCTGTATAAACACAAAATGTAATTAACCAACAGACCACTACAGCTTTTTTCATTTAAGTTTGTCCGATGTCACATTAGAATATTACTAATTTTCACATGCATAAGATGGATGAATCTATAGGCATATTATTGGAAGAAACCAGAACAAATTAAGCTGAATGCAGTGCAATGAAATGCAACAAAAGGAAAATCTGAAAAGGAACAAAAAAACAACTCAAAAAAAAATCGTATTTGCTGTACAGTACATCATTTTGTGTGAGTGAATTTATATAAAAAAAATGTGTTTATATAATTTTAAATCTATTTGTTCATTTTGGTGTTATTTGTCATTATCTCAAGGCACAGATTAGATGCATGTTGCTGAAAAAGGTATGTTCACATTAATTATTAACAAGGTAGTTCCGTTACATGAAAATGATGTTCCAAAATGATATTGTAGTGTTCTTATGATAAATTTGACCTCATTATAATACACATACATTAAAATAATGCTGCTACGGTATACCAACATAACACACCATCACAATGTCTTGCATGTACTTGCACAAAGAGTATAATCAATTTTTGAGAAAAATGCATTTAAACTACAGGTACACTGTATGGGGCCAATCAGTCCCTTTAGATTTTTAGGTTTTTCCTTAAAAGGCATATTATGCATAAAGAGTGTTACATCTCCCACTATAACAGAAATATCCTCTCAGTGCAAGCAAAAACTTATTAATCTGACTAATTAGATCAAATTCTTTAATTAGAATGTACCCTACAGTATATGAGGAAAAGGCAGTGGTACTACTAACTACAGCTTTACATCGGTACTGGTTCAAAACACTCTTCATCCATATCTGGTTCAGTTGCTGAACCAAGCCTTCCAGTGGAAATTCCTTGCAACAATTAAGGAGCTACCATGATGCTGTGGTTCATTCCAGCCCCTGTTGTAAAATAACTTGAATATGAAATGAATATGCACTTCTCGATGGCTGCTACAGTTGTCACAACAAGTCCATACACAATTTTGCATGACAACGCTCCATTTTTTGGTTATTTTCCTACCTCTAACCTTTACCATGAATTTTATCAAATGTTGTAATTTTCAAATTTCTAGGCACATACATATTTCACTTGATATGGGAGATTTCATTAAATATTCATCATTGAGCACTAAATTCAGAAAGCACATTTTCAGTTTGGCTAATCACCATACCAGTAATTGTACTGCAAAATTATTACTGTTGTATCTCCTTTGGGTATTATCTTTCAGGCTTGAAGAAAAATCACTACTAATTTTTGCTGCAGATGCTGCAGATCTACTGTACTGCATTGTGCTTTTAGTAGATACCTTTGATAGTTTGACAGTGTAACACCCACCTTTAAAGTCAAAAATACTCTAATTAGTTAATTAGCTGATCAAAAAAATGTATTTTTATAATATTTCTTTCTTCCGAAATTGAGGGCAAACTTTCTATTTGAAAGCTTTGCATGGACTACCCATCCTTACAACTCCCCTAAGGCGTTCTATCGTGTCATGCAGCCAGCAAGGTGCAGTCTAAATCCAGAACGGATCTTTCCAGTGTGTCAATCAAAGTTAACAACTAAACCAGACAGAACAGAGTAAGGGATACACGCCCCAGTACAACTAACACACGTGTTGTCCCGCAAACACACACGTTTACGTACAGTTACGCTATCTTTTTTGTGGAACCTTAGCAACAATAACCAAGGGGGGTGGCTTAGCGAAAAAGTGCTTAGTTTTGATGTTATTACCGTGTATAATTCCATCATTGGCACAGTCAGCATTTATCAAGTGAGGAAGGGATGGGTGGGGACCTCTGTCTAAAACTGGAGGGCTGTCAGTGATGAGGTGTTGATAGTGATGGATACGCAAAATAGAATAATGGTCAGTTAGAATAAATACACTCTTCAGCTTTAAAGCTTACAGTATTCATTTTAAATGATACAGACATTAAATAATTATTTAAATTTCCAAATTTTTTAAGTTTCTCACAAATAATGTGAGAGATTTCATTTGATTCTGTACTTTGTTCTAACACGTTGGCTGCCAGCAACAAGTATACTTGTACCACAGGGTGTTGGTGAGGGCGCCAGGGACAACTATACTCGTCAAAATCGGGGTAACATTCTAGCGTTTATTACTTCTTTGATATACATTGTAGAACCACAGACTTAACGGCTGGTAGTTTGGGGAAGATACACCTAGACAACAAATGATGTATGTATGTTTGTTTTGTTGTTGTTTGTTGTTGTTGTTGCCGGCAGTACACTCGTACAAGTGGGGGTGCCCTTTAACATATACTAACCCATGCAAAAAGCTGACAGGAAAACTCGCACTAGGCATAATCAATAAAAAGAGTGCTGTCACAGTGCTGCCGACGTCCCCTAATATTTTCCCGCCAATTTATTAGACACATCATTTTGATTATATATGACTAAATAAAATTTCAAAAAGTATGTTTCAATTTGTGCATGTAAACTTGTTTTGGCACACGGTCAGGAACCTTAAAAAAAAAGTCTGGCAGGCAACGTGTTAATACTGATCAAGCAACACCAAATTGTCTGCCTTGTACATTTTATTATGCACACCGACTGTTTTGCGACTTTGTGTGTGTTCTGATGCAAACCTATTTAGACATTATGATGCACTGTGACAAGGATGATCTTCTTGGCTATGAATTAACCATCATAAAAAGACAACACACATATTTACCAGAAACACACATATATTACAGCAATTATTTGTGGCTATGTTTATATTCAGCATACTAATGTACATACTGTAGCTACAGTACAATATACTGTATGCAAACACAGTATGGTCGAAATATGACTGAGTGAATGAAAAAAGGGTTTAAAGAGAGCAAAAGGGCTAACTGATCATATTGGTTTTATGCCCTTCCAACTTGTGCACTTCTATCACTTTTAATATACAGTACTGTCTGCAATGAAATAGAGAGCTTAAAAAAATAAATTCAATTTGGTTGACAGCAGGATATTTGTATTTTACTTTATGTCTTTTTCTAAAAAAAATACAAATATATTAACATCCTATTTTGAGTGTTCACCCAATGAGAGTTCATAGATTATATTTTTTTAAATATAAACGTATTCTTGTTGGACTACTGTCTTATAATATTTTGCTGTCAAAATAAAGCAATGTACTACTCTATAATATTCCTAGTAGTAGTTTTAAGGCAAAGATCAAATTTCTTTAAGAGAGATTTGCTCTCCTTAATGAATCTGAGGAGAGTGATTTGCAGGTCTCCTGGTATTTCTTTAAATGTCGGCCTGCTAAACTACTGTAGTAAACCTTTGTTATTATTTATTAAAATTACTCATAAAAATGGCTACACACATCAGCAGTGGCATAGCTAGAGTATTGAGATGGGGAGCTGATGGGGTGCTGATGTGGGTGCAAAGGTTAAGTGGGGGAGGCGATGATTAACTGGTGAAGCTAGCTAGCAAAAGAAGATGAGTAGTATTATTATTTTACTTAGCATATTTTCAGTGGAGCGACACCACTGGGGTTGTGGGTTTACAGCTTTTTCAGGAAGGATGTGTGCACTTCCCTGTGCACCCATCGCCCTTCTCCCCTCCCCCCTTACTGTAGATATATCACTGAACTAGCAATCCATAATGATCCAATATTCATTACCAGGTACGATATCAAAAGTGTATGGTACTGTACTTGAAAAGCATAACTGTACTCATTTGTCATTTGGTTGTGTCTTATACTTATTACCCAAGTAATAATAACAATAATAATAATAATAATAATAATAATAATAATAATAATAATAATAATAATAATAATAATAATAATAATAATAATAATACAATACTTATAATGGAATGATATATAACATTTCTGTCTAGTGGTTAATATAACACTTTAACACAATACTTTTTTCACATGGCAATTATCTCTCCACTATTGTAGTAGCCACTGGTTTTCAAGTCTTTATTATGTAATTGCTGATTGGTTGGCTAACCATTGATTTATAATTACCTAGGGATTATTATTATATCCATTGAAGGATATAAAGAGTTAACTTGACTAGCAAGGCTTCATCTTATCACCTATTTGGAATCCTGGGCATATTCAGTGTGATCAATAACACTGCATCAAATTTCCAAAAAAAAGTACTTTTTTAATATTACTATAAAGATTTCAGATTCAAATACATTTCACAGTGGATAATAGCAATAAAAAAAAAATGGATTACATTTTTGCTGCCATCACTGATCATACACACTGGTCATTCAATTGCATCAATCGTTCTGTATTTCATGACTCTATATCATTATCATAATTTCCCGCACAGTGTATGATTACTAGTGACTCAATGCTCTTACACAGTTATACTTTATATGAAATATACATATTACAGAGGAAATTCAATTTAGAAATAATGGTAAGCAGTTTTCTTATGGCTTACAATTAGGTTAATTGAGGACTAACTGCTTTGCTGGCATTTAGTCTCTCCTGCCCTGTAATGAAGTTGCGAACAATACATTCAATTCAGTGGATTTCAAACATATAGAAATTATTGTGATTAAATTAAAATTGACAATTAAGGGTTTTCATTTGCATCATAAAAACATGGTTACCAATACCACGTTTTGAATCTTTATAGTAGTGTGGTTCAAGTTTGATGATTCTTTTTCTTGTTTGCTAATATTGTTACACAGTATTATTTCAAGCGAAGGGGGGGGGGGGAAGAGAGAGATGCTGGATTTGAATGACAGAACCATAGCCAGCACTAGGCAGACTCATATGGATTTTCCTTAAATGTATTTAATGTTTCCCAAGATTATATTACTGACAAGTTCAGTTAACACTGTCTACAATACATACAACAAGTGTTTAGAAGAAATGAAATCTGCCAGTAATTTCAAGAATATTATTGTTTTGATACCAGTGCCACAAAATGGCCAAGAATCCATCTTGAAACATTTGTGCATGCCCCAAACCCAATGCCATAATAACCCCAAGGCCTGCATCGCCCTCCTCTGCCCCAATCCAAAATCTAACATGTAGGCTTGACACGTTATACCTCTCCTGGAAATTTAAGTAATGTTGGAATATTCAAAAGCGCCCAAGAAGATGCACATTATTCAAGATGCATGAAACTCAATTATCAGAGGCAATAATGGGCCATTTGCAAAATTACTATTACTATTTTTTATTATCTTTATTAATATTCACAGCAGAACTCGCATTTAGTATCAAATTGTCGGTGCCAAAGACACTTTATAGGATCAAAGGGCTGTAATCTTGCACTATGTTGATGTGCAGAGATGAACGGACCTTCTGTTGAATTGCCTTATACCAAATTCCAAATTACATTTATAGGGGTAATTATGTGCCATTTGCACTTAATATTATTAGCAGATACTAGAGCTATACTGTAAACTAAGTATTATTAAACCAAAATTATTATTTTTTCATTTTCAATATTAATATTCACAAGCTTGCAATAGTATAATAATAATAGTAATCGTCGACTAATACAGAGTGCATATTATGGAGATGCTGTTAACATAAATATGAAAAAAAAACAAAAGTAACACACAGGAGTTTGTGTGAAACTCTATTTTTCTAATTATGTTTTCCCATAGAATTTTAATCATCTTTTTATGTTTGTGTTTTGAAATTTATAGTCTAAATCATTAATGTTCACTGGAGTAGCTTTTAGATGGTGATCAAATTTGCTTTTATTTAGGCAATCCTCAGGCATTTTTTGTCTTCTGAATTTTTATTGAGTACTATTAATTTACACTGCAAATTTTCAGTGGAGCGATATCTCTGGGGGTTGTGGGTTTAAAGCTTTTTCAGGAAGGACGTGTGCACTTTCCTGTGCACTCATCACCCCTCTCCCCCCACCCCCATACTGTAGATATACCACTGAACTAGCAATCCATAATGATCCAATATTCATTCATCATCAACTACTATAGTGTATGGTACTTGAAAAGCATAACTGTAGTCATTTGTCATTTGGTTTTGTAATCTTATACTTATTACCCGAATAATAATAATAATAATAATAATAATAATAATAATAATAATAATAACAACAACAACAATACTTATAATGGAATGAGTTTACATAATATAACACTTCTGTCTAGTGGTGAATATAACACTTTAACACAATACTTTTTTCATGTGGCAATTATCTCTCCACTATTGTAGCAGCCACTGGCTTTCAAGGCTTTATTATGTAATTGCTGATTGGTTGGCTAACCATTGATTTATAATTACACGGATTATTATTATATATCCACTGAAGAAGCTTGCTTTTAGGCAATCCTGAGGCTTTTTTTGTCTTCTGAATTTTTATTGTATTTTGTACTGATTTTGCTTGGAAATATTTAGTTTAAAAATAAAATAAAATCTGATTAATGAGCTTTCTTACTTTTCTGCAAATTAATCAGATTTTATTTTATTTTTAAAATAAAATAAAATCTGATTAATGAGCTTTCTTACTTTTCTGCACACAGTGTTATCCATCGGCAATAACTTCCGTGAAACAATTGATAATAAATCAGTGAAAACAAGCAAATATGAATTTGCGAGAGGGGCTATTTTCCAGAGAGATTACTTGCCAGGATACTCCCTTGAGTTGTGGGACACTTGCAGCTTTTATCATTAAATGTTGAAATTGATTTTTTTTTTTTTTTAAATGCTGTACTTACATGAAATCTGAATTGATCGTATGTGAACCACTTGCCATTGCTTTAAACTCTACACCTTCTAAATCAATATCTTCTGGAATACTCCACTCAACCACATTGCCTTAAATGCAAACATGAGAAATGTGATCAATACAATCTTTTCACTCTCAACACTTAACAACAAAGTCGGAGGTGAAATCTGAAACAACAAATGCTCATTTAATGGTAATTATGCATACTGTTTATTGGCAAAGAAAATACTTCCTTCTTGGATTTCTATATGAAACCACTTTATTTAACAAAAAATTATGAAATATGCTACCTAATGGAAAATTTTAATTTATCTTCATTATGATACAGCTTCTTATCAAAAGACAAAGGTAATAAAGATGCCAAATACCAGAATGAATAAGGGTATATGGTACAAAAATATCAAAAGGTAAATACTGCACGCATGGTAATTGAAGCTGAATTTTTTTTATTCTTTCTTTTGACATTATCAAGACACCAAACTGACACCTGATTAATTCTAAATCTGGCAAAAATATAGTATTTATATTTTTATAATTAATTACATAATATTTATTGAGTCTTTTCTCCTCAATTTACAGAAAGCTATGTTTTCAGTTTTATTTATACAAATACAAACACAAAAAGTAAAAACAAGGACAGCGGTCAAGGGAAAGCAGAAGCAATGTTCACTATTAAACTAGTCGCCATGACAACAAATGTATGCAACCTTTTTCTGAGCAAAGCTAAAATGTGAAAATATTGTTCATAGACATTTGAATTTGAAATTCATTGAGTGACAATAAATCTGTATTCAGACGCCTAAAAAAACTTACATATATGCATATTAATTGATTACATACTGTATGCTTAAGATGTATTGTCCAATGCAAAATACCAAACAAATATTTAAAAAATCATTTTAAAATTAATTGGCTCATTTTGAAGCAACATAAAAAGGATTAACCTGAACAGTACTGTAGAAACTACTGTATTTAAAAATGTTTACCCATTCTTTACAAAAAAAAATGATAGTAAAAACTTGCAATCAATGGTAGTGTTTTTATTATTTTCATTCAGGAAAAAAAAAATTGAGGTAATCATTTTTTAAATTCAATAATTCCTATGCTAAAGTAAATAATTTGTATTTTAATGCAAAATGAGCAAGTTAATTTCAAAATTATTTTTTATGATTTTTTTCATTTTCAAGGGACAATACATCTTTAATGAAACAAATTTTGTTATGCTATGTACAAACCAATATAGCTCAACACTTTGCATGCTTACTGCAATACTGTAGGCTCCCAAATGGATATAAAGTAAATCAAAGATTTGGTAATATTAATGACTCTTCGATTTCATTAGATTGAATTAAAGACTTGATGGAAGGAAAACACCGGTTGCAATTTGTAGCTTGTCATGCTACTTGTAAGAGCGGTTGTAATTAACTTTCAGACCACTTAACCCTTTCATTTCTCACATAACAAAACTAAGTACTAATTAGTAATAATTTATAAAGCGTGGGATCAAACACAATTCTGTATTAATTATCTAGTACAGTATGTGGGAGTTATGGACAATTTTAAGTCTTTCTCTAAGCTTAAGGATTTCAATTTTTTATTTGAGTTGTATAACCTATTACTTAAATTTATTCTTTTGCCTAGATATAGACTTGCATTTTCAATATTTCATTTTTTTCATTTCAATTCTTTAGGCACGAGAGCCAAGGATATGCTAATAAGTGAACTTAATCACTGTCCTAAGTGCTATTTATCCATTAAACAACAGGGGACTTAATGGACCAGTACACCAGGGTAGACCCCTACTCTTCTGAAAGAAGATGCATACATTGGGCCTACGGTTTAAAGTCCTTATACGAGAAGACTTGTTCCACCACCGGAACCATTGGCGAGTGAGTCGTTTGAACCAGCACCGATATTAGAGCTGACAGTTACGGTGCCCCCGACTTAACCGCTCGGCCAATCAACTCGCCTAAAATACTATATAAATGTCTCCTATGTTCCAGTTCTGAACAAATTTCAAAATAGACAATTACAATTACCAACCAATATTATGCAATGCAAAGATAAATAAGGTACAGTACACATAAAAATAATGAACAAAATGTAAAAGTAAATTATGACCAAGATTCCTTATTTTTTGAATGGCAAGCTTTCACACTGCACTTGTATTATCCAGTCTACGTTGAACTATTTTTGAAATGATAATCTAAATTAATAAATAATTTGAAGGAACTAAACTATATCAAAATTGAACAATTGTACTGGCCCATCTAACAGCCTCTGCCACTGTGAACTAGACGTCGCGCGTTCTTGGCAACTGTGAAGTTGGCCTACCAAAGAAGAAGAACAGTCCACAGCCAGATGATTACAATTTTGCACATTATTTCTGAAACAAAACTAGCGTTAAATCAAAATCTGGCATCACCGTTGTCTATTACCAGCATACTGTAGTCTAGTAGTAGTACGCACAGTACTTGATGCAACAGATAACACATGCATTTAGATACTTTTGACTTAATGATCTTTCGACGTCAATTGAGAATAACAAATTACACGTAAGTACTGTACCTAAATCATCATTCTCCTTTAATGTTATCCCCATTATGCACATAATAAACCTTCAAAATTATTCAGTACCTTTTAAATATTTTACATTCTTTTTAATGGTTATTTTAATAAGGGAATTAATTTCTACACCCAAGGAAAACTTGATGAACAGCAAAATTCTACCTACCTATTCATAGAATTTGCAGAAAATTATGGCCAAATAATAGGCAAAGAGGGATTACTATTTAAATAGCAGCACTTTACATTTAAGAGAATGTGATAGAAGTCAGTAGGACAAATGATGCCAATGCTTCATTGAATTTGAAGATATTTGGATTATTTAATCTTTTCAAGTTACTTTCAGTAAATCAAACAAAAATTTTCCAAAGTATTTTAAAGAAGGGGTTTTTCTTTTTTTTTCTTTTTTTTTTATTTTGTAACAAGAAAGAAGGAGCATGGCCGTACATTATTTTAAGCATTTATGGGCAAAATTTTAATTAAAAATTTAATTAAAATACTGCAACAAGAAAACAATATCTTGTTCATGGAAAATAAAATAATGGTAATGATAGGAACATTTTGCCCCAGGAAGTAACAAAGAATCTTATACAATGGTGTCCAAATCTAAAATCCGCACCAGTAATTTTTTTGCAATAAAGTAATTTATTGAAGCTTATATGAATATCTTCAGTGGAGCACAGTGAATTGGTTTTAGAAGAATCAAAACAAATGATACAGTAATTACGCATGATGCTATTATTTTAATTGCCACCTCTATTACACTAATGGAATAGTAATCAATCAGCAACAGACTGATAGAAGGTTTAATTTATAACGCTGAACAGTCCTACAATGTTACGCAAAAACCAATAATGTGATAAGGAAAGGATGATGTACAATGGCATTTTATACCCTGGCATGACATTATGACCAAAAATGGCAGCGCCCCCATTGTGGAGAGCTACCCCTTCACTTCAATTCGTTGGAACAAAAAAATATGTATTTTTTACACATTAATAAACTCTAAAATCAATTAAATAAAGCCTTAGAAACTTCCGAATTGGACCTTGGACGACTTCCAAAAGATTTTTAGCGACCTCTGACCACACCCACACTCCCACCGTCGGGCAAATCCTGGTGCTGCCAACCCTGTTACAGCTTAAGGGCTGTTTAACTTTTTGAAACTGTGAAGCTCTTTAAATGACTTCTTCAGTCCCCGGTTCTATTCCATCCTTGCTATCTGTATTTCAGCTGGATGGCTCAAGTGCAAGTTTTAATAGTGGCACACCACATTTTGGATGAGAAGGTTTAAACCTACAACAAGCAGTTTCAGAGGGCAAAGCATTGTGGTTATGTCTTTTCAGTGAATAAAGGTTACAGTACAAATTAACAGCTGCTTTTTATATACTGAACCTTATTAATTAACATTTATGTTAATAACATTTTACATCCTGATCCAAATTTGCTGTCCATATTTCACAACTAGAACTATTACTACAGTTTGCTTGATATTTATGCCAAAATGGCATAACTTTAATGGCATTTATTGGCTAACTTTATTATTTTTGGTGTAGGCCTACCGAATTCAAAACAGTTAGGTGCCATTTTTTTTTATCCACGTTATCAGCCGCCATTTTTACTTTCAAGATGGCCGGCGCACCACATGGTCATGTTTGGTGTCAATGTAAAGGGAATTATAAACTGATCATTTAATTCCATTACACCTATAGTACCTAATAATACATATTTCCAGCACGCCAAAAATGATAAAGTAGCCAATAAAATCCATTTTGGCACAAAAATCTAGCTGGGGCCAAAATCTTTTAAACGGCAAACCTTACTATATTCTGCATTATAATAGTACTATACTGTACTTTGAACCTTGAAGTTCTCACTAAAATACATCCACGTTTGATTGGTGATGTCCTTATCTACTGCACACTGTCCAACCAACAGTTAACACTAACACATGTCACATTAGCTTTCAACCGAACATTAGAATGAGAATGAAAAATTAACAGGTGCACGAATATACAAGATACAAGATAACTTTATTGTTCGAAAGAACATTACATTTGAATATTACATCGCATGAAAAATTACCATTCCTATTCATTTGCCCAGACCAGTGGTTAGAATAAAATTGGGTTAAGGGAGGGGGTGGACGAAGGTGAATTTTTGATTTTACACTCAGGGCAGCACCCAAACTTTGATGTATCCAGTAATAGGATGCTTCCTAACACCTTTATGCACTCATTTTAAACTGCTTTATGTGGCCAGGCCACACTTTTCCCACCTGTGGCCTAAACCCTGAAATTGAATGGTAACCAATTATTAAATTAATCAATTTAAAAAATCAGTTTTTGCTGAGTTGCAGTATTTACTACAAAAATCCATGTATTATACACAAATCCTTAAAAGGATTTTTGTAATTAAAGAGCTGCAAATCAGAAAAAATAAACCCTTTTTTTTCTTTCTTACTTGAATTGATAACTATTTTCCAAGACATTCTTTTAGAAGCAATTCAATTTTACTTAAAATACCGGAATTGACTTGAGTTTTTTTCATATTAATAATTATATTCAACTTGTACACTGTGAAGAGACAAAAACATGAACATTACAGCATGATTGCAGTAAATACAAGGAACAGTCACTGAGAAACACAGACATAATTACAAGTTCAGTGCAAGCACGTGGGCCAGCTGAGAAAGGCCCAACCGTTCGTTAGCCACTTGGTTAAATTTAAGCCAGGCACTTCTGTGCCGTAGGACCATCAACAACAAATCAAACCTCACTCCATGTGAGCACTAGACAACTCGACATTGTCTGCTGGCAGTGCTGATTGTCAGTGGCGGTCTGAACGGATTGTTGTTAACTGCGATCAGTTGCGTGCGCTTCATGACGATGCATTCTCCATAAAATCGTGTCAGCCTAACAACCGTCAGGCGCACCAAGTTCCTGGCTTTTAGGCTACAGCTTCGTCGAACAAGATCAAGTTACTATAGTTTAGGCCTACAGCATGTTACTGCTGTATGTAGGCCTAGGCGGCAGGCCTAGTTAGTTACTAGCAGGCCTAGTTAGTGTTGCCCAGCTAATCAAGCCTACCTAGGTCCTGGGCCTAGGCCTACTCATCAAGTCCTATGTAGGCCTAGGCCTCTAGCCTGCCTACCTACATAGGCTAGACAACTTTTATAATATTAATAATAATTAATTATTAATTTTATAATTAATATTATTCTTATATAGCGCTTAATAGTGATAGTTGTCCGATTTATGGTAAAAATTGACTATTTTTAACATGTTTTTGCCACCGTGCTTCAGAAGGTAATGCGTTGACATTGAGTATCTCTAACGCATTGACGTCTGCAGAAATGCGTTCAACTATAACCTCTTAAATAGGCTTACTACACTCACTACGTACATTACATTTCATCGAGAGACTATTATTTTAAAAATTCAAGGCACACCACATAAGATCTAATGAACTTTAAAATTGTAATAAGAAAAATGGAAAAATGGTATTTGTTGTTAAATTCTAACTTTATTATGTTATAAGTAGGGATAATATAAAAACTTGTACTATTTATTATTGTTATCACATAATTATTATATTGTAATGAAAGAGGCCTTATCTATTTAAATTATGTAGGCTAAATTACAAAATTGGAAAATTTTTAAAAACTATATAAATACAGTTCTTACAAAATAGGATTGAAATAAAGGTGGGCGTGACTCACACGGAAGAGAAAAATTGTCAGTTCAGAATTCATTCCGTTAGTTATTAGGGGTTTTGTTTGTCGGTTTTTTTATAATATACATTTCAGTGTACAACATTAGTAAAGGAGATTGCATTATAATGTAAATATTTTAAACAAATAGATTCAGGACGACCAACTTATCCGAAGTCAAGAATTAGATTCCATTGGGATACGAGTAAAATATAAAGAAACTGATTCAAGATTCAAAAATATTTATTTAAAATACATTTTTATTTATAACACATTTCATCAAATATGTACTCACTTCACAACCACTCATTTTATTAACATTGTATGTAGATAAATTTGTTGAATGCTTCCTGAACCACTGTAGGGCTAATAATGGTGCAAAAAACCGCCGTGCCTCATCAATTTTTTTTTTTAAGAGAGTGATACTAAATCTAATCATTTTTTCTATGTGCCCTTCCCTTAATACAAATATACTACAGTCTAAATACTCATTTTGTTTTTTAATGTAGAATAAGTTTATCATCGTTCATGTGGTACTGTCTGTAGTACATATCGTGAGTGATGCTATGAAACGAAGACATGAAGGTCGTGGTCGAATGCGTTTCTGCTGACACGTCAATGCGTTATTATAGATGTAAAATTTCAACGCATTATTTACCGAGACACGACGGGCAAAACCAACTAAGCAAAAAACAACATACATCGGTTTTTAACAGAATTTGGATAACTATCGTTCTAAAAGTTGGTTTCTATTGATTATTATTGATTATTAAGTATTTTCTACTCTCGTGTGGTAATATTTTTTTATCATTTTTGCATCCGTGTGGTTACGCGTGGTGGCGTGTGGTCCATGTGGTATTTAGTTTAGTAGGACCCAAAAAATAAATCTCTTAAATTTATTACTTATAATATATATACAAGCCAATAATAAAAAAGTATGAAGGTTTCATTCCGGTTATTTCGCCATAGCGAGCCTATGGCCTAGGCCTAGCCCTATTGTCTAGGCCGAAGTTAGGCCTACCGTACCTGAACGTGTGTCGAAAGCCACCACGAATATAGCAACAATATTAGCACTCCCTTCAGTGAAGTCTCGCACATCGCTAACAGATGCTCCGTTAGAATCTATTTTCCCATCACCGTCCTGTTGGGCCAGCCTCTTAATAAAATCCGCACCTCCATTTTTAAACTGACTTTTTGGCTGACGAACTTCAGCAGAATTGTGATCGTCGAAATCTACAAGAAGTGGAGTTTTTTCCATGTTTGTGCTCAATCCACAGACAAAATACACAGATTCATCATACACACCGTACTGTGTTATGTGGCGTAACAACCGGAAATAACGACTGTCTCTGCCACATGATGCCTGTACAACAACTCAGATCATCTGTTTCTTCAACTTTAACCTTAATTAATAAGAAATTGTAATTCTTCAGTACTACAACACCACACAGGTCCTATTTCAGTACTCTATGGTACAACAATGAATACGTGTAATCGTACAAATAGATAATAATGCTTATAAACTATACTATCTCCACTAATCGTAGGCCTAGACTGAAGGTTAGCCATAGGGAATCCCCATCCCCGAACTCAGCTGCCTACTTTTGTCTTAGCTTCTTAGCTTTCAAAAACAAACTTTTCTACTAGTCACCTGGTGGCGCTATATTATGTTTCTGGAGGTGGAAAATGTGATGAGATGATAAAATAAATTATAATACTGATAATAATATGATGACAACAATAAGAATAACCATAATATTAATACTAATAACTGCCTGTACTGGTCATTGCTAAGCCTGTGTCATGCCTCCAGTGTGGGACTGATTTCTCGTTTTTTTTGTGTTTTTTTTTCAATTTGGCCCCTTTTATTTTTATTCTTTGTAATTTTTTTGTAGTTCAAATAAATAACAGAAACAACTTTAAAAAATGTATATGTCCAGTGTAATAATTTATTCTTCCATGCAATTATGATGTTATAAGGTAGTTAAAATAAATAAACAAGTTCTCTTTTTTATAATATTTTTAATATTTATAATTTTGTATCTGCAATTTCTGTTTGATTTTAATCAATTCTGTGCAATTTTAATGTCATATTTATTTATTCTATTCATACGAAGCGCTTCTGTCCCTGGTCATTGGATCCACATGCTAAGAGTTGCTGCTGTATGCAGGAGCAAACAACCCCACCAGGTACCCATTTATACTGGGTGCAGAGAAGCAATGCAGATAAAGTTCCTTGCTCAAGGACACAAGCGAAATGCACAGCGAAGGATTGAAACTCCGACCTCAAGGTTGGGATACCAAACCTTTCACGCTGCACCAAAACCGCTTCCGCCGCTATTTATTGTAGTTAAAATAACTGAAAAAATAATTAATTACTATTTTAATAACTTCTACCTAAGAACCTGAGTTTTTCTATCACTGTGATATTACAAGACAAGAACTTCATTTTGCTCATTCACACTTTATTGTTACACTGTATATGACAAAACAAAAATTATTTTTTGAGAGATTCATCTTTTCCAAGAGAAAGTTGTAACTTTCTGGCAACATATACATTGTAATGCACACATACACATATCATTTTCTAGTAAACTGAACATTTTAAATAGAATAAAACAAAAACAATAAAAAAAATGTTTGATGGTAACACTACATACAGTATTGTCAGACATACTGTAGTCAACTATTACCATTCTGATAAAATTCCAATAACACGATTATTTTCATTTAACAGGTAACAATTAGATTTTTGCAAGCACGTGAAGATATCCTTCAAATATTAAATCATAATTTGTGACATTCTACAAACTATAATTACATGTGCACATCTTAATGCCTTCATAAATTCATATATGATATCTTAAATAATTTTCTTATTCTATAAATACATATCTAAAACAAAAGACAATTTATTTTGAATCATTATTTTGTCATGGTGATAATGAGTTGAACCAATGCAAATATGCTGTGCAGTGAAACAGTTGCTTCAGATAATTAAAGTGACAATATCTTCTGAAAAAAACAATCATTCCTAAAATTTCAATTGTCAATAGAAAAAAAAATATGTAAAAAAAAATACTATATAATGGTGCATTAAAAAAAAAAGAAACAAAAACAATCCCCAAATTCAAGTATAAAATATACCAAAAGCTATGTTCATAAATAATATATCATTGGCAAATGTTGTAGAGGATTCTGTGACTTTATTACTGTATGTCTTTTATTAAGACCTAATATGGAAGTACTAGTGATAATTTATTAATACCTACTATACTGGCAAGATAATAGGTGCTCCTAAAAACAGTAAAAAATGAATGGTTAACATTTATATCTAACCAAAATGATCTTCCCAAAATTATTACATATTAGCCTTGAAGTTTGTTAAAATATGTAAATACTTTACATACATAAATATAAAGACGTTATTGTGTTTACCTCCAATACACAACAATCTACTGGAATAAAATTATCATCTATGAAGAATTATTTTATAAAGCAATATAATTTGGGATAATTTTTTATAATAAATAACAAAAGCAATGATCTGAGAAGCATACTGTTTAACTATTTTGTTACTATACTGTTAATTATAAACCCAAGATCAAACCCATTAGCATTTGTTATTCTAATTCTACCTACAGATCTTTCTGGACATATTTAATACATGGTGCCAACAACTGTCAATGACCACATTTTCACCGTCAATTGTAATATTTTTAGAATGTAATGTTCGTCAGTGCATCATCAATTAATTCTTCTTTCTGTTCCATATCTGATTGAAATACAGTTACTATTATATAGACTACATAGATTCCAGGCATTTGATTGGTTAAAAGCTGCAGAATATTTCTAGCCATGCCTTACAGTATGTCAATATGCCTACAATCTATGTAGTGGTATATAAAACAAAATATTTACTGGGAATTTAATCGGGTCATAGTAGCATACATATATTTATAGGGTTGAGGAGCATGGTTCAAATTATAGCCCAAACTGATCCAGAAGCTGTACTATGTCCTGTGACAAAGTAGAGGGACAGACTACAGCCTGCAGATCACCAAGGGCTATAATTTAAACCATGCCTCTCAACCCAGTAAATATTTGTATATTAATATACCCCATAAATATTTATTAAGTAATACAGATACCAACATTTTATTGGTCAATTTCACTTGGTACTCAATACAGTAATTTACTTACTACCTCACATGTGTCATATAATATATTTGCAGATGTAGAAAGTAGGAAAAAGTACTACACAATCCGTTACTACAGTTCTCAACAACTTAGGGATGTACTACTATCTTTCCAAAATGTCTATTTAACATCAAGACCTTCTTGGTAAAATATTTATAGGGTACTGTATATCATCGGTGTGGAATGACTGGAAATAATACCTTCCTCTGCGTTGCATCAGCAGTTAGTCCCAATTGTCTAACTTCCCGGGATGTAGAATACGTTAATTTCCCTCAAACCATGTTGTATTTGTAAAATATCTAAAATAATACCTCATCTCTTAGGCATTCTACTCCATTCATGCAATCACAGCCTATATCCAAGTAGCATTTAAGTTATCTCTCGAACCTTAAAAAAATCTACAACTAATAATATTGACATTTCATTATTTTTCTAGCTCTCTTTTCTTAAGATGCATTTTAAGCCTGCTTCACTTGAATTTAGCAATAACTGTATTTTGTTGATTTTTAAATGTCCCATTTTTTATCTATATCAGAGTTTTTAAACACAATTGACAATGAACTGCTGTTGGTTTTTAGATCAAAATAATAGGAAATATCGGTAAGTACAAATAGGCAAATCATTATGGGCATGCTCTATAGATTTATAATCTCAAAAGAAATACTTTTATTATATGTAGGCATATGGGTAAACACCCAGACACAACAAGCCAGATAATGAAACAAATAAATATTATTAAAACATCTAATAAAGAATGGAAAAAAACCCCAAATCAACCTCCACTGGGACTTGAACTAGACCTTTCGCATACATGGTAAATGCCATAACCATTAGACCATGAAGAGTTTTGTGGTGAATCCAAGTGGCAGGAGTGATTGAATGTGTTTTTCATTCTTTGAATGTCTTGATATCGGAATTGAAATAGCACTTTTACTCACATGGACTAGACACAGCCAGAGATATACATAATATATAGATACACCTTTCCACCCTGCTATACAATACTTGTATAATCCACCTTTAAATCCCACCTTCATTGCCACCAGCATTTTGAACCTAAATAGATTCCTAAACATAAAACTTAAATATTGTATCAAACAGAGATGTGGCTTCTTTAATGTCTATACATTTACTCTACTAACTGGCTTTCTGACCTCTCCATAACTCGCTCCATCAGTTACTATTGTCTGTAATTAATTGTTCATTCTGATACTTTACAGACAGCTGATATACTTTCTTGTAGTAGTCATCTAAAACACACACGGTGTCTCAATTATTGGTATTAAAATTTCATGTTCCAAAAATTAAGAACTAATATTCATTTATGTTGTGCCGCAGATGGATCTATATCTATATTCATATATTATATACTTATATTAAAGACCACAACAGAAGCTTAGTTGACCAGCAGAGCACCCCTTGCAGATAAAACTTACTGGTATGAAGGAAGTGCTAAAAACCAAGCATACCTTGTTGCCAAATCATTCAGAAAAAGCATATTTTCATTTTAACTTGATTCTATTTTTAAAATGTAATAAGTTTTATATTAATGAATTATAAAATCTCTGAAAAATTTAGTGGTGGGTGGGTCTGGCATATTGCTTGTGATAATTCTGCTTCCCACAACAGCAGACATAAAACCAACAACATCTATTGAAACAATAAATGAAAGGGGATGAGTAAGTACTTGTAGTTTTACCGACCGAGTGCTTCCCCTTCTGTCAATTGCACACATTACTTCAAAACATATCAGGTCGTCTCTGCAAAATGGCCATGTAGTATGTGGTCACTATGGCTGTCACGATGCAAGGAGTTGTATACATTTATATTTAGAACAAGTTAGAATGATTGAACAAACTCATGAGGCGCTACCAGTTGAGCTTGCTTGGCTTGGCACCGGTTTTCCTTTTGTCATTCGATCTAATTCTGCTTTCGCATCACTCCGAACAGCCTTATCTCCTGCAAAGAATAGAAAAAGAAAATGTAGTAGATTAGAGAGGAAACTACTGAAAATTGAGATATAATCACTTCCCTTATCATTGGATGGTAATCAAATTACAATGATAAAGACTAAAAACTCCGCCACAACAAGTCGTTCTTGTTCTTGGCCTGGACATGGAATTGACTCCGTGCCATTTCTTCGGCATGATACAAAAATCTGTTTTTTTGGTTTTTTTCCAAAAAAGTGAGCTTTCGTGACAAAATGAGTTAAAAAATATCAAAAACGAAAAATGGGTTATTGTTATATTTAGATAGTTGATTATATAAGCTTTATTTTGGTCTTTGAATCATGTTCCTATGTTAAGTAAAATGAGAATATGATCATTTTAAAGTTTGGATGTCTAAAAACATATTAAGAGAAAATCGCCTCTAAAAAAAAATAACTGATAAATTTTGTGTTGATTTTCCTATCAATTCTAAAAAGTAGCTTTAAAATGTGCCTCAATATCAAGATTACCTCAACTCAGAAATTCTGCTACTGTAAAATATACATATTAAACTTATAAGAAAAATTGAAACCCAATTCTTGCCAAATTATCACTTCAGATATATTTTCTTGAATATATCAAACTGACCTGGCGTACCACAAGACTCATTTTGTCACGACAGCTCACATAAATATATTTCAATTGAATAATTGGTACTTAGACATAATGCATACCTGCTTTGGATTGTGGCGATCCTGTTCCTGTTTTTTTACTTAGTAAACTGTTGAAGAAGTTCGCTAAAACGCCCTCATTAGGTGTGCCACCAGCTTTACTTGGATCGATCTTAAAAAATTAAAAAAGGCATTAAGATTAAATCGTGTTAAAAAATAACAATACACTATCAAATTTGTACACAGCATTTTATGGGTTGGTGGGAATCAATATGTTGCTCTACCGACAATGTGCTATATTTATATATAAAGATCTGAAGGAGTACACCAGCTTGGCCCCATATCTTAGTTAGAGCTCATCTAAACAATAATTTTAGGGACAAAGGCCCCATTTCAACAGTAGACTTTAACCAATCACTTAAACAGTTACAATAAACATGTAACTACCAGGCCCCTTCCCTTTCTGAAAATACAAAATCAATCTACTTTATTCTTGTTGTGTTTTCATTTAGGCCTTTTTCACCTTCTTTTTGCACTCTAGCACATAGAGACCATGTATAATGCACTTTAATAAATGCCTATTACCCATTTAAATTTTGCAGAAGAAATAGGGGTTATAGAGTTGGCATGCCATTCAACTGGTTATTTTGGCACAATTTATAAGTACAACACAAATACCAGGTTAGATATGACCTTAGCGACCCAGTTCAATGACCTTGTCACAAAGTAAACAGACTACTACATACTAAAACTGTGTTTGCTTTGCTTGTTTAAGTACATTGAACATCGACATAGGAGACTAATTCCATTTCTAGTGGTTATATAATTTATGGTCCATTAACGCAATAGCCATGTTAAATTAAGAAGCAATTTTTTTAGCAATAACGTATTATGGAAGATTTTTCCATTAAGCAAATAACTGGTTATTCGGCAAAAATGGGTTCTTAGATTGGAGTTGTGGATAGGGAAATTTTTTCACAAAAATTAATTATCATCACAACTTAACAAGTGATGAACTGCTCAAAGATTCACAATTTATTTATATGGGTTGGTATTCTTGGGTTAGTTAGCCATTAGGTAGGTTAATAGTTTATTGATTCCTATACGATATATTAATGTTACTAACTTTTGCTTTGCTTGCACTTCCTGGTGTTACAGCAGCTGGTGAAGCCGACGTCTTGCTTGGCCGCTGTGGTGATTCCTATAAACCAAAGTGCATAATTTAAGTATTATTTAAAGCATAATAAATATAAAATGCTGTCTCAATTAATTAAATCCTTATTAATAAAATCATTAATATTTATTATATGAAAATATATAACAAATATTTCATTAAATAGTACTAAAACCATTTTAGTCAATTTTATTATTTTAAAGTCTATTTTTTGTCGATAAAATTTATAATAATGTAATAACAATAACAGAGGGTATTACTGCTTTTTATACCTCTAAAATTGCAGAGGAAGGCAATTTTCAAAAAATAATCTTTCATGACTAAAAAGGATTATCAGTAAAAAGTAGTATAACTTACAGCTGCTTTTCCTTGTGAAATATTCTTGCTCAACATATTCTGCTGTCTCATCAGAAACAGTTGTTCATCTTCCGCAACAGTTTCCCGACAATCTTGAATTCCCTAATGAAAACAAAAACAAAATGAATCCATTGTTAAGAAACTCAATGGCAACACACAATTTACGAAATCCAAAGTTTATTTAAAGTCTCTCCTATAACATTATGGGGTTTTCCTAAATGGCTCATACCACCAAATCTGTGTTCATATGAGAACATATGATTATTCACATGAGAATCTTATGATCATTTTATGATTACTAGTATACCCCATAGTTTGGAGGTCTAAATGTGTGTCTTATTTCTTTTCTACAATGATGAAAAAATGGCAACAGCAGCCACAAGCTCTTCGCATTTGTTGTATATTAAGCCAATTGTTCAGACTATCAAATTTTATTTGACACAAAAAAACATGCTAAAATATGGTCATCATGACATCATATCATGACCATATATAGGCACATCATGACTATATATGGGCATATGACAGTTTTTTGCTAGTGTGGACGGAGCTCTAATTGAGCAATGAGAAAAGGAAATTTGAAGGTTGTTACATAACGTTGATGCGTTATATAATCCTGGGTTAGATGATTCCATTATTTTTCGCAGGTAAGTTCCATTAGGAATCTGGCTTATATCAGTTCATCCAGGTAAGTATTCATGAAATATAAATACAAATTAAGCAATTTAACCCTTTGAGGTCGTGGTCTGTATCCCATACAGAGTAATTTACTGTCCCTGGATGCGCGGTCCGTATATGGTACGGACCTATATCTAGTTACTATGACATTAGGGAAATCACCTAAAAGAGTCAGCAACAGATGGCAGCATTATTAAAACAGTAGGAGACAAGGCTTAGCGATTGTATAGAGCAAAAAAAAAAAAATAATAATTTTTCTGTCAATGATTGATGTACTTGGATAGACAAGGATAGCGGGATTGTTTATATAATAAATAAAAAATTAATTAATTAATTAATTAATAATATAAATAATATGAATCTGAGGAGAGATTTTAACTAGAAACTTTAGCAGCGCAACTAGTAATGCTAGGCCTAGGTCTGCAAACGTTCATTTCAGGTTTGGTCATGTACATGTACCTCCTCTCATATTTCAATACCCCTACCCCCATCTTCTCCATTATTATTATATTATATTATTATTTTATCAAGTGTACTAATTTTAGTGAAATATATCCTAGGTCCAGTAGTCCACCCTAGTTAGAAATAAGCATACAGTATGTAGGCCTAGCTAGGCTTACTTGCCCTCTATCTGGGGAGGGGGCGTGTCATACAGGCCGTTCCCCAAATTTTGACCTCAATGACTTTTGTGACCTTGGGCATAAAAAAATCGTCATAAATATATGAAAGTATAATTTTTTTTAACCAAACACCTTATTTTTATGTAGAAAACAACATATTCCACATAATGCGTAACATTTTTTAACATAGAAATTTTTTTAGTGTCGTTTACATGGGGCTTATGGGAGGAAAAAAGTACCCTTTTTGGGCCCCTAAATTGCAATTTTGGGGCACATGACCATTGACCTAGGTAAAAAGTCAAACAATTTTACCTAACAATCAAACCCAACATTTTTTAGAAAGTTACAGTCATAGAAATTTATTATGAATTCTTCAGAAACCTATTAAAACCGCTTAAGGGGCCGCAGTAACCTATAATAAACCCTCTTGGGACTTCAAAGGGTTTAATATGAAATTGAATTTCTCAATTTTTTTAGCTCATGACACACAGTGCATCATTAATATCATGTCCATAACATTAGTAGCCTTTCAATGTATAATACACACCAGGACATTTTGATATATATGCAAGAAACGTTTGTAATAAAGAACAATGTTATTTAAATGTCATGGCCTTATCATGACATGAGTGACCTTTGGATGTATAATACAAACTGAAACATTGTGATGTATGCTTACAATCAACAATGTTAAAATGCCATGTCATCATCAATACATGATCAAGTAACCTTTGAATATATACACACACCAGAATATTTTCATAAAGGTTTACAGGAATGTATAACTAAATGTCATTCCTCATCATAACAAAACATGAGTAACATTTGGGTGCAAGATTACACACCAGAATATATTTATATAGGCTGGAAAAGTTGAATGTTAACTAAATGTCATGTCCTTTAATAACATGAGTACCCTTGTTAGATGTATACTGTAAAACCAGAAAATTTTATGCCGCAAATAATTTTCAGGTCACATGTTCTATGTTTAAAAAAGATCGGTAGAATACTATCTGATCATCGTGAATCTCGAATCAGTTTCACAAAGGAGATTTTGGTCATTAAAAATCACTAAATTACACCAAATATTAATTTCAACTTCTTAAAAGATGATAATCAACAATAAACAGCAAGAATTGTCGGTATTATTTAAAGGCCTAAACTCGCCAACGACGATGCAATACAGATCTAGGGCCTAGGCCTAAATGGGAAAACTAATCTTCATACCTTGACAAACCACGATGCTCAGTCACTATCAATCAATGTGTTTGAATCAATATTAGGCCTACAGGAATAAATATTGTTCATTGTAGAATGCTTGAATACCATACAAAATTTAGGAATATCGTATGAGTGAGTATATTGACATTGTAATGTATGTAAACTTGTGTCTTTCTTAACTGTGCCTGGGATGGTCAGCTAAGTCCTGGTCCTAGCAGCTGAGGTAGGCTGCAGGCTTATGGCACCTAGCCTAGGCCTAGCTATTGTAGCCAAGACAGTGGCTGTAGGCCTATCTAACCTAGAACTAGAACTAACAATACGATATTTTCAGCTATTGTATGGTATTCCTCTCATGAATAAAATTTAGGCCTTTTGCGATTCGCTAAAGTTTAAAGTCACGAAAACGGCCAAAATTATCAATTCGCGAAAGTTTCGTTCAGCGAAAGTTTCTGGTTTTGCAGTAATACACGCTGAAACATTTAAGGATAGAGATGCCTCTAATTTAAAGTAAAGCAAGCAGTGAGATTGCCCTTGTATTGTTTGACCTACCTTCCTACTGACTGGGGGTTTAATGAGCACATCTTCAAATGGATCATCTGGTTTGATGTTCATCATATTCTCATAGCAAATGCTGATCTTTTTCAAAGTATCCCAACCTAATGGGCTGCATAATAAAACAATAAATTTATTTAGTCATTAATAATTATAATTATTATTATATATAATAACAATAAAAGAATAGAACTCCATACAAATAAACAGCAACCAGTAGGCACATTATAAACAACACAAAATGACAACTACTGTGCTTAGTGTTTTAACTTTTTGATTCATGTCATGTTGGCTGTTGTTAAATACCTGTACGTACTTTTGTTTATTCAGCCCATATCAAGCCATAAACTGAATATACTGCTACTGTATATCATCTTAAAATCTAGGCATTAAAACCATTCTACCTGATTTTGTTTCTTTATTATTTATTGCTTTCAATACATAATCATATACAGTACATATTAACTACATAAAAAATATAAACAAAAAAATTAGCAAGAGGATGATCCTTAAAAGCTCATTTCCATATTAGGGTCCTGATACAGCATTTATTCAATTATTTTTATTTATTTATTCCAGACCCAACAGTGTGTCAAACACCAAAAACAGGGTTGCCATAAAAGTAAATTTGTTTATTCTGGTTTGTGCTGTATGTTTTGTTAGTTACCTTCTTGTACTTTAAAAGAAAAAAGGATTATATCACACTGTGTATTTATTTTTTGAACTATTTAAAACTCTCTCAACTAAGCCTACAGTTTCATTCCATTTTCAAGTCCCCTCAACTAAGCATACATTATACTACATAATAAAACGTGTGTAAACATTTTTGCAACTTACATAAAGAGGGCCTCCTTCTCGACAACTAAGGGCGGAGTATTGAATGGAAAGTTGTATATCCTGTGAAGGAGATATTTCTTGAGTAATCCACAGTTCTTCTCTTCTTTAACAGATATGTAGAATAAAGCGGCACCATCTGTTTATCACTATGTTAAGGAAAATTAAATACTTTTCGTGATAATAGATGTAAATATTTGCATACAGTTCGCCCTCCAATTTGAGACCGTCTTTGGTACCTAGAAATTTGGGGTGGTCTTGGGGTTTGGTCTCCACATAGAGGGAAAGATTAACAGATTATTATTTGGTTCTTTGAAAAATTGGTCTTGAATTAGAGGAGATTTTTTTTGAAGATGGAAATCTTAAAAGACTGACTGACTGATAGCTTGCCAACGTTGGAGACCACTTGTATACTTTGGAATTATGTTGTGTCCGGAAACCCCTGGCAACACATTACATTATGGTTTTCCTGAAAGATATATAAAAATATTTAACTTATAAAAGGTTTTGGCTACATTCAGACTAGGTGGATAATTCCAACCTAACTCACCAAGTTTATCCACCTGCCAGTCCGAACTAGGTGGCTTATCTCAAGCTGGGCTGTGTTCTTCCTATTGTAACAAGGCCTGGCGTGCCACCGTGTTTAACTTTTTCTAAGACGGGTTTCAATCACTGCAAGGGGGGGGGCCCCTTGCGGGGGTGTCCTTGGTAAAAAAATGACCAATCAGCATTTAATTACGTGTGCTGTGAGCGAGCGTACGTTTCGCATGCAATGTTTCAAAACTCATTTCCTGGTTACGGTTCATTAATATGCAAATTCTTGCGTCTGGCTAATGTAGCTAGTCAGAACACCCGGCAAAGGTAAGCCGGGCTTAACCTTGAGTCAGGTTTTGTTAATTTTGAAAAAAAAAGGATACAGTTTAAACAGAACTTCCTGATGAACTGTTGGATGTAATCAAAATGTTCGATCTTATAATCAAAGTCTTTTTCTAGACTTGACACAGCATCAGACTGAAAAATGTATAAAAGAAACATTTAAAGACACAGAGAAAAAAATTAACATGCTTGAACATACATTACACAATATCAATGTCATATAAGAATTAATGATGAGCTTAAGCCTCTGTATAGCTTTAATATTAAAAATAAATACATACTTTGCGTTATTAATTAAAAATGTTAATAACTATATTGTACTACCAAAGTACATGAAACAGGCAGCCAAAACTAATTAACCTCTACTTATCTATAATAATATTGACAATAATTTGGGAACCAATTCTTGTATTCTTTGCAATGAAATAGCTTGTATACATTGATTGTATTCAATGAAATCCGAATGGCTATGTCTATGTAACTGTTAAGGTTATATAATTATGTATTATGGATATAATCCTTTTTAACTAGAGTAAATTTAGCTCATATGATTGTGGAAAGTGTTCCTTAACAACTGGAAACAGAAGCACAATTAAAAATAGCAACAGCAATGATAATGTGAATAACCAAATGAGAAATATTTGGTTTATTGAATCATAATAGTAGTAGTGATGATGTTGGTCTGTGAGTGAGATACTTACCTGTATGAACAGATATAAGGAACTTACCCATGAAAAATAATTGAATTATCCAATCCAAGTAAGTAAGTAGAACTTGCTTAAGTCGAATCCAAAATGCCATTGAAATATTGTTTAACTTAGATAAAATTTGACTTACAGACTGTTAATTAATGGAAAACACAACAATTTGGCATGTAAAATAAGTTTGACTTTGAAATTATTTGACTTAGGAAAAGTCGACTTAGGCAAGTTTAACTGTATTCCCAAAATAGACATGTAACAACTTACCTTAGTACATACTACAATGACAGGGACTCCTAAATTATGTGTTAATGTAGTCTCTCCAAGTGGCAGTAGAACCTGCTCTTCCTCATTGGGAGTGACAACTGTGGTGCTCTTCTTTCCTGACGTTTCTTGAGTGCTATCTGGTTCCACATAAGTCTGAAACTGTTGAATCACTGAAAAAAGAGCAGAAGATAGTGTTAACAGCATGCATTTAATGGCAGAGGGTGGTAACTGTGGCTCAAGATCATTAATGACCAAAAATATCATAAACAATATAATATTTGTAGGTGTTGCAAGTTGCTATAATCCTGCAAACAAAATTTTGGAAACACAGTGAATCATTTTGTGAATCGGACAATTCATCAGGTAATTTATAATAATAATAATTCTGGATTTATATAGCGCCTCACGTTGACACAACCTCGAGGCGCTTAACAACAACAGAGAAGAATAAAAAATTAATTAAGTTCAAATGATTGGTTTGATGATTATCAATAAATGTTATTATTACAATACTTTGGTGATTGGAATCAAATTACAATGATTTGCTACTAAAAGGTGATGATAAAGAGATGGAACATTAACTTGTGAACAGATTTTAAGTACAGTCATATAGAAAAAAAAGGTTACTCATCATGGTTGGTCATTCATGATTAAAAAGTATATTGAGAGTAAACCATCTTAAAATAATGCATATGCTCCTCTTCACCCAGAAGTATATGGGTACCTGCTAGTAAGTGAATGATTCGGAATGGAATTAGTTGTGCTGATTACACGCATAATTAGGAATACTCCCCAATGAGTGAAGGGGTTACACATTGTGTATGATCGATTCTGTGTCCAATGACCAGTAAAAAAAGTGCCTTGAGCAATTATGTGGATATGTGCGCTTATAAGTCCTATAAAATAATAATATAATGCCAGTTTACCAACACCATTAGGAGAATTGGCAATCAAGGAAAACCAGGAAAAAAGAGGAAATGAAGACAAAAAAAGTGGATGTATATCACGTATACCTGGAAAAAACAAACTGGGCAAGAGCTGATGGAGCTGATGATGATGATACCACCACCTATGTTCACCTCCTTTTTACCTCAATCTTGCTTGAATGTAGTAATTTCTAACTTTTGTAAATGAGTATTCATTAAACAAGGAAGCTTTAAAAAACAAAAAAAAAACCCAAAAGAATTTTAACAAATCTAATTTTTTTTTTAAATGCTTACATTTTTGTTCCAAATCTCGCATTTTCTGTGGTGCAATATTTAATCGGCTGATGTGGACACTTAGTGCTCGGGACCATTTGTCTAGGGAGGCTTTAACATTCCAAGGCTGGGACATATCTACCACCAGTATTACCAATGTGTCTTCTATATTGTCAGCTGTAAGGGCAAACTGTAGAAGGCGAGAGTGGTCATCATCCCCGTCAAGAAGCCAGACACCACATCTTGCAATATCTGAAATTAATTCAAAATAAATATTTAGATAATCACCTTCACTTTCTTCATCTAATATCTTTACTTACATCAGACAATAATACATTAACCAGCTACATTTCGGCAACATATGTTGTTATGGATTTGCTTTTAAAAAAAATTGAAATAAGTATACTTTTATTGAAGATGAAATTCATGATTGAAAAAACATTACATAGAAAAAATTTACAAAGCAAAAACCATCCAAAATGACAGAGGAAAACATCAAAAAGGTAAAAAGAAACACACAAATATACGCATCAGAAGAAGTCTCTCTGACAGCAAAATAAAACAATGCATATTCTGCAGACATCAGGCTTCTGTCATTGTTTAACAATGTTGCCTTGTCCAAAAATAAAATCCTATCATTTTTCTAGAGTATTCACAATAATATGCCAATCTCTATCTTGAAACTTGAGTGTTTCATGCTTTACGTAGTATTTTGAAATTTGCCGTCTACCTTTCAAAAGGTTATGAGGAATAATGTTGTACGTTGCACATAGATAAATATTTTATCTATTTTCTATAAGTGTTGCAACTGGAGGGAACATTGCTATACATGTGTTTGAATGTACAATGTATTCACAAAATAGACAGCAAATTTAAAAAGTTCAAATCAAAGAAAGTCCAAACATCAATGTCATACACTGTATCAACTTCTACTTGCTATGAGTAGTTGGTTAACACTCTGAACGCCGGGAGTTTGAACAAATATTATCAGCCACTGCCAGATTTTTTTGGCAAATTTTAACACTTTTCCGAAGCTTGTTGAGAATGTGTATGTGATCAGATTGACATGTAGTGAAGAACCACAAGAACTACAAACAGTCTGTGATCCGTAACAGTAAAATGAAAATGACTCACTTTTGGAGATTTACACAATTTCGCACAACGAAGCTGAGATAATTGAGATTTCGTGAAAGTAATTCAATACCGCTCTACGCTAATGCAAACAGACAAATAGTGAAATACTTACGGTCCAGACTGACTATAGTGTTCAAATTGTTAGCACATGTCAGATTCCGTTAAGAAACCTGAAACACGGACATCTCCGTGTTTGGCGGTCAAGCGTTGTGTTACCAAACATGGAGACCTCCGTGTTTGGCGGGCAGAGTGTTAAGAGTTGTTGTTCCTGCTTCTTGTGCTGAAGACCGTTCAAACCTGGTCAGCGCAGGGTTTTAATTAAAGTCTGATTGCTCTGCTCTTCGAACAACCCTCACATTGAGATTTATGCAGGAAAATATGTATCCGTCGCATGCTGTTGGGTGGCATTCTACTGCGACTACCACACGTTCCCAGGGGCTCAGTTCAAACTTTCAAGTTGAAGTAGGACAAATAAAGATTTAGTGTATTAATATTACATGACAATTCAAACAAGAAGGAATGAAAACCACAGAAAGTTCACATCCTTACCATCTCTATCCTCATCTCTTACATCCAGATATGTATACTCCAACCCAGAACCCTTCTTAGGATCTTCATTCCCCTGAAGACGTGCAACCATAGAAGTCTTCCCAGATTCATCATCACCTGTAAAAAAACACAACAGACTAGATGATTTATAAATTTCATTATTTTTTTTTTCTTTTATTTCAAAGAATATGAACTATACAGTTGCTATCTAAAGCTACAATATTTAGAAATAAATGTATTCTAATGCTGTATGTGAACTCAGCAAAAGGAGGAACAACTATTTGAAATCTCACAGGAGTATCAGATGGGAATATCCTAAATTTTAACTGTGGTCAATTTGATTTGCATACAATACAAATGTATTGTTTGGAAAGAGTGACTTGATTTGCAGTGTACAGCCTAAATACAGGTCTCACTTAAATTAAAGACCCCTTCAAATTTGAAGATCACCTCCAATTAAAGACCACTTTTCTGTGGTCCCAAATTAACATGTTTTTTATTTTTATTATTCTAATTAGAGACCAAAGCTGCTGAAGACCATGAAAACAACAGTCCTGAAAGAAAAAAAAACAAGAAAAAGTATAAAATGGTGATCAATAGTGTATACATCAAAACCATTTTCTAATTTGCTTGACAACAAGCTCAGGAATAAACACAATAGCATACAGCATGTTATTATGTGTGCTCTTAAACAAACAAACATAAAAAAAAGAGGTCACCATATGGAACAACGGAGAGGAATAAACTTACCAAGCACAAGTATAGATTTGTTTGCTGGTAATTTTGAACTTGAATGTGTTGAAACTTCCCCTAGGATGGAATACCTGCAAATGAGTTGCAGAAAACTTATTCAAATAAAATAAAATCTGGACAATTAAAAAATACTTAATCATATGTATTCTAAAGTGAATAAAATTATTAAATTATCTTCATGTGACTCGAACAACCTATGCTAACCCTATTCAAAAATGAAAAACACTTTTGAATAAACAGGGTCAAAGCATTAGAAGATAATAGATTTTTTTATTTTTGAATCAACAAGGTGAGCTTTGCAAAATATTAATAAATTCAAACAATACATTTATAATTATGAATACAAACAAGAAAGGTATATTATACTGTAGATTATTACTGGTACACTACCACACTACTGTACAGAATAAAAAGGTAGGACAAGTTTCTGTACATCAAATTATTCCTGTAGATGTTCACAAATGATGTTTGAAATATTGAATGAATGATGACATGTATCACTTTCTTTAGTCTTTGTTAATATTATTGTATATTATTATCAAACAAATAACTATTATTTACAACAAAAAATGAAATTTTATAGCATAAACTTTAAAGATTTTGGAATCAGCAAGTTGGAAACCATAAACAAAAATTGTACAATCAGTAGATAACATGAAAACAATCTAATAGCTAACAAAATGATCAATACAAAATCGTTGAATTTTCCATTACATATGTATTGCGATTTCACTCACTAAATCTAATTTTATTCTGTTTTCATAAAGTACCCTGTCAAATATAATTAATACGTACTATTGTGCTCCATTACAATGCATGAATAGTAATACAGGTACTTAATTTTTACAAGCTTAGCATTTCATAGTACTGTATAATCTACAACACCAGTATCAGGGATTTCGGCAACCTTTATTTTTCATAGTGTGTTCAAAGCAACACTTAACCTTATGCCCTTAAAAGTAAATGCAAGCAATGTAACAATAAAGTTAGGGTTCCAATTAAGCTCAGTTACCATAGAATGGCTCATCCTATCTGCGACAGTCGCCAAAAGGTGTCGAGAAGGTTGAACCTGGTTCAACTTCGCTGAATGCGTTGCAGACGAATCGGGGTGCCTTCCTGATTGCGTCAAGGCAGCTAGCAATGCACCCTGATTCGTCTGCAACACAATCGGCAAAGTTGAACCAGGTTCAACCTTGGTTCAACTTCGCTGAATGCGTTGCAGACGAATCGGGGTGCCTTCCCGATTGCGACTGTCGCCAATAGGGTGAGCGATTCACTGTAAACAAATCAGGTAGACTTCTTCCACTAAAATTCAACACAAACAGATGCAGGAAATCTTTTGTCCATGGCCACAAAATAATAATAGATAGGTAATTAAGTTATATGATGTGTGTTAAGTTATTTGATGTGAATTAATTTATGTGACAGATTGTTTACGTTTTTTTTACTGTTTGTATCAAGGCTAATGACTTTTATGTACACCACTGGTTGTGTACAACAACAATAAGTATATTTTATCTTATCTAATTATTAGTATCATCTGCACTCATTTTATCAACTTGGGACAGTGACTGTTAAATGAGTTACATGTTCCCCAGTATATAGTTTTAGTGTACATCTGAGATTGTTGTTTTGAAATTCTTTTTTGCATGATGTGTTATTGGGAACACAATGGAAATAAGATAGTATAATATATACTCCAAATATCGAAATGCACGCCATGATGTCGGGATTCGATATTTCGACATTAATTATGTCATCATCAGGAATGAAAAATTATCCATATTTTCAAGCTTACATGCACAAGTACCAAAGTACGGAAATAAGTAGACCTAAATTTGTGTTCTTTATGCAATTTCTGAATAAACAAACAAATCTATTATTATTATTATTATTTTCAGTGGTGTATCTGGGGGAATTTTTTGGTTGAGATGCGCGCAATAAAAATTATCATCATTAAAATTTATATAGTAAAGAAATAGGCCTAGGCCCCAAATAAAATGAAGTTAAATTCTGATTGTTTAGGGTTCACAAAGCCTTGGCACTGCACCTCCTACTTGTCACTGCAAGGTATCTGATGAAGAATATTGAAGCAGGCCTAGGCTAGGCCTAGCTTAAACTTAGGCAGCCTAACCTAGGCCTAGTAGTAGTACTAAATAAAGTAAGTAGGCCTAGCCACCCTAGGCCTATACTAATAATACAACCATATGGGTTCGGATAAGAACCTTGGCGACTAATTTATTCAACAAAACATTAAACAAGCCCCACCCTACAAACCACACTTGTCTCACACCTGCACACAAAAGCACCGTCCTGTTCCTGCCACCACGCCCACAAATCAATGTGCGTAACTAAACTTCACAAACACTTCACTATACACGAGGGCACCGCACCCACATCATTCAAATAATACTGCACTTGGACAAAAATTTTGTTAGCCCATTCATCATGAAAACAGGTACGAGACCGCTGGACGAATTAGGCTCGATCGGCCTAAAATGGAGCGAATCGTCTGGGCCCTATCCTTCTTAGGCCCACTCGCCAATCTCACCCACCTCACGAGCCCTGTCACACCCGGACCCCTCCCTACCTTGGTGTAGCCTAGCCTAGGCTACGCTAGTGAGACACTGACAGGCCTCGATCGATGGCTATTGTCATATAACTATCACAGTATGTACTTTAAATGAAAATGAATTGTTTTAAAACATTAACAACCCCTCATACCATAGGTTTTGCTGTCCTTCCTCTCCATTATTTTGCTCGCCATTTCCGATTCTTTGACCGACGGGCGCCATTTTGACTCATCCAAAACCTGGATGACTGGAGTCTGCGCAGTGTATCTCGCTGTTGACGTAAGAATTTCGTATTTTAGGAGCGGGCAGTGTCATTATCAGCTATAATAACTCTCTCTATCCATGGTTATAATGATCTTACGCAACAAATTCTGCTAATTATAATGGAGAAAATATTTTTTGTTTTTTTTTTTATTGAAAGCAAATACTTAAAGCAATACTGCAACAATTAAAGCCTTGTCCATACCACACTCTCTGGTCCATACTATAAAGTTGTATGTAAAGATGCATATATTTGACAATATGACATAAATCATACCCAAATACGGGCACATCACACACATTTGTCACAATTAATTGTATAGTGTGGACAAAGCGTAATAAAAACTTAATAAAAACTTGATCAAAAAATTTAAAAAATAATAATAATAGAATTGAATTGCTTATTAATTTGTATATTAATTACAATAAGCAGCCTACTGTAGAGGCGCGACTGAAAAATAAAACAACAGGGGAAAACAGTCACCAATTAAAACAAGTTTTAAAATTTATAATTCTAATAATTTTTTCATAGGCCTAAATTTAAATTTCAGCCGAAAAATAATTTATAGATTCGCTTAGTAAAAAATGTAAGGTACGTCCGTAAATTATTTCTTTATGCGACCTGACAACTCCACACATCCTCAATAACCATACAATTTCGTGCATGCACTCAAAACCATAGGGGGCTGAGTTGGTATGGATGTGAACCCACATGATGACATAATTAATGTCGAAATATTGAATCCCAACACGATGGCGTGTATTTCAATACTTGGAGTATGTATTATACTTTCTTATCTGAGATTAATCAGTGGACCATTCGGTTTATGTGAACCCACCTTCTGCAAAAGTCCCTCTTATGCCCCTTTATTTCGAATTCTTGGATCCGCCACTAATATGAATGAGGGAATCTATACATACACGACTCTAAATTTTCTGCAAAGCTACAACGTGTAGAGATTTAAGAGGATTATTTAATTAATCGATTTTAGAATCCCGCCTTTTCATATTTCAGCATTGATGGAACAATTTTAGGAACAAACGGGGTTGGGGTAGGGTATTAGATGCATGGGCAGCCTGATTTCAATCTTATTTGGCCATTTGTTTTATTATTGAAGACACTCGTCAATCAGATGGTCATGTTATATAAAACATTCTCATTGTGTATGAGCTGCTTTGGTCATGACAACTTATAACTCTGCAGTCACAAGAACTGAACCCAAGACCTTGGGATCAGAACGCAAGCATCTAAAATCACTAAACTCACTCCAAATAACAAAGCAGTAGTAAACATTATTGACCTCCATTGACGAGCTACACAAATACCCTTCCCAATATGGAATTACACACATATCCTATTTCAAACTATGCTGTAAATAAGCACTAACTTTTATTTTCAGAAAAGTACGACTCTATGGGATTTTTATCCTTGTAGATTAGCAAAACTGAGTTATTACTTAAATACTCGTGTTTATCGTTATTATTATTATTACTATTAATAACAAAAGAAAAGCATCTTCAGTTGGCAAACGCAGACAAAAAACAAAAAATGTATCTATTGAATTATGTGACGCAATGAAATTTTACTCTCTTTGTTAAAAGCTAGTGTCTTGATATGTTATACTATAAATACTGTACTGTTTTTTTTTCTATCCAAATATGATGCAATAATTATCCTAATCGAAGTCTAGACAATTTAACTTAAAATTAGCCAAAACGAAAATATTCTTATTTATTTGGATTCTCTTTTTTTTCTCTTCACTTTTTTATATTTTGAAAAATTTAGGGGGAGGGGCCAGGGTCGGCTACCCCTCTGACATCCCTCCACCCCACCCACATTGAATCTGCCCCTGGGTTTGATTGCTTCCTTTGGATTGATTTATTCATAATTATTATTGATAAGTTTCAATCTTCAATTAAATTTTCTGGTGGTTATTGCTGTCACAGATTATATTCATTCTTCATATTGTTCATGTTTTTTAATACAGATTTTATACATTGTAAATCCCATATTCCATTTGGCTGCATGGTCACGAGTGGATGGCTTTTGTTGTTATTTGAGTAAAGAATACTAAACTAGTAAAGAAAGAAATGTTGAATCAATTATTAGGCCTCACAATCTGGGTTTTTTTCGCAGGTACAATACTTACTTTTCAACTATTTTCAGTGAGTCTTTTGTTTTGATACTTTTGTGTTCGCTGATTTTAACAGGACTTAAATATGTTGTCTTCCCCAACTCGAAATAAGGCAATTCAAGACCAAGATGTATGCTCAAAAACTGCAATGTACCTGTAGCACAACCATTTGGCATGTGCTACAGGTACTTTTCGTCAATTGTGTGGCATTTACTCGATTAGTTTTAGTTGTTTTTTTTTTAAATTTATATTTATTTCTTATTCTTATTTATTTCAGTTATAAGAAAGTATAGAATTTTGGCTTATACTGCCAAAAGTATTACATTTTGGAATTTCATTTCCATAGTAAGAATACGTAATTGATATTTGACTTATGACCATACTTTTAACCTTGCAATGGTCAAACATGGCATTTCTGGTAACCACCGACTCCTCTAATTTGCTTAGCCGGGACATCTTTTATACATCGTTTAGCGAACCCGTCGCCGCCAATAATGATGATTTCGAAAATTATTTTTTGCCAATTATTGCACCCATCGTAACAAAAAATTTCAGAAAAAAATAAAAGGTTTTCTTTATTTTTATTATACCCGCCACTGCCGTGAAATTTCATAAATTCACCAATAATTTTCTTTATTATTTCCCCCTGTCTGGATTTTTAAATCCTCTGACGATCTTTATAAAAAAATAAGTATAATAAAGTATAAATAAAGTCTCGCCTTAGCTTTGGGCGTCTCATATCTCATGTCAAGGAGCTAGAGCATGTGGGCCAACACGTTGTTAAAGAAGCTCTGTAGTTGCACTCAGAGAAAGGTGCCTTCGGGATGGAATAATCAACTGGGATTCAAGACTCCAGCCCTACAAGCAAAAGGGTTTTACAGCACTGTTTCCTTGATTCCATAGTTACAGTCGTGAGGGCACAAATTATATTGTATGATCTGAATCAGGAAATGGTTAGTGATTTACAGTAGTTTTGAACTTATGAACTTACTGGTTCCCAGTTAATGATTATCTACTATGTTTCCATTGACAACACAAGTGTTAGGTATTCCTCCAGTGTGAGGTGAATTCTTTATATTTGGAAATAGAAGCTTTTTACCAGCTGTCCATCATGTGTAAACGTCATTGAAATACACAGTCTAATAAGCAGAACCACCCTCAGCATTTTGCACATTGTTTAAAAACACCTAAACTTTCGGCACCCACTCCAATTCCAGTATCAAGAAGAAGTTGATATTTCTTTTACTTGACGAACAGTTGTAGAATGAGAAAAAAATAGAAACAATTTTACAATAAATTTCTAATTTTAATGCATGACATGTTTTCACTACTCTCATACATCCTCAATAAGGGAAAAAAAAACTAACTAACATGTTATTCACATTTAAGTAAACAATAAATAAAAATGTAATAAAGAAAGTTCTTTTACAGCTCTAAGTGTAGCTTTTTAGATACTGTATTAATTTATTTACTCTTTGTGCTGCAGTCCAGGACATATTCTTGCATTGTTTTCAAAGTGGTAGAGTTCCATAACAAAACATTTATAAAACAAAATAAAAAAAGTCTACTTGTAGTTTCAACTGTTATGTTCTAGTTACATACACTCAAACAGCTTTAACTTTTCGACTACAAAATAACTATTCTGTTGGTGTTTCCATCAGGAGATTTTACAGGAATGATGTTTTGCCTCAGCATAGCATTGCAGTATCTGCTGCTACTTTTGGATCGGATTCAATACAAGGCAGTAAGCTAGTTCTGGAGGTCGTGGGTTCAATTCCCATACAAATCACTTGCGAGATTTTTTTTCCGCAAATAGTTGGGAACGTACTGAGCATTCATTAGAATGTCATGTCAGGTGGGCAAAACATCATTGTTACAAAAGGTTTTCTTTATATTTATTATGCCTGCTGCTGCACTTGAAATCTTCTAAATTCACCAACATTTTTTTTAATTATTTTCCCGTCTGGAATTTTTTTCCGCAAATAGTTGGGAACGTACTGAGCATTCATTAGAATAACATGTCAGGTGGGCAAAACATCATTTCTACAAAAATAAACTTATTAAACAGTTGAATATTTTTTATATACTTTTGTATATTTTTAAAAATATTATAAAGGCAGATGGAAATTAGTTTTCTTGTTTATATGCTTGACATTTGATATGCATCCTATGAAAATGTCATGATACCAAATGCATGACCATTACATGCAGAGCTGAAAAAACAATAGGCTTACTGATCAGCTAGAAACTTAGATTGTCAGTCGCTGAACAGTATGTTATTTAAGTTTGCAATAATTTGCTTCTAATAATGTAATAGACGCCAAGAAAATGTAGTGCAATTCATTGGTCATCAATTGAGCTACCACTTGTGGCATCTTCTGCTGAATTTTTATCTGTTCCAGAATTGATGTCTATATTTGTCATATCCTCTTCACAATTGTCACTTATTACAGCTGCTTCTGCATCCTTTGCTTCTTCCTCAACTGTTCTCTCATTTTGAGATGGTCCGGATGTGTTGTCATTAGAAAACATCTTCTCTGCTGGTAACATGTCACAGAGACGTAATATATGGAAGCGATCCCCTTTAGGAACAAATGAACGAACTGATGTCTTTCCACGCCATCCAACGATATACAGTAAAAGATCTTGTGAATGTGGATCACTGAAAAACCAAGAAATTGGTAGAGTTCAATGCTGCTTTAAAGTTTAATAAATGAGTTGCAAGTTTATTTAAATTTGTATGTTTGAAAATATTTTAACATATACAATCCACACTCCAATTCGAGACCCCTATAATTGCAAACTCCTCTAATTCGAGACCACTTTTTCAAAGAACTAAATAACAATCTTCAATCTATTAACACTAATCCAGGGCCGTAGCCACAAGAATTGAAGTGGTCAGGTTGCGAGTAAAGTGAGCAATGAGGCTCGGGGCCATGGGGCCCGACAAGGGCCATAACCACACTTTTTCCCACTTTTTTCTCCCAGTTTTTAAATATTAAAAAATCTGTACCCCCGTAACTTTGGCTACGGCCCTGTAAGCTGGCACTCTATTTTGAGACAGATCCCCAAGACACCCTAAACTTTCAGGTACCAAAGGTGGAGAGTAAACTGTAACAATAATTAAAACAATAATACTTACTATTTCTTTGGATCATATATAAAAATTACGCTTCCCTGAGCTGTGGAGGAAAAAAACAGATTTCATAAAATTGTTATGGAAGCAGTAAAGACTAATACGGTAGTAAATTGGAAGCCACTAGTATTGAGCTTATCCCCAGTTTCTGTAGCGTGAAGTGGATGAGAGTGTAATGCTCCACCTGGGAGGGACGCTGGTCCACTGCAGGTTACTTCCAGCTGGGTAGACTGAAGCAATATAGATAAGTGCTTTGCTCAAGTACACAAGCGAAATGCACAGCGAAAGACTTAAACCCCGACCTAGAGGTTGGGAAACAAAAGCATTCCCACTGCGCCAAAACGCTTCAACATGATAATCAATATTGATAATAACAAATATAGTTAACTAGAACTATGCCACCGGTGAGTGTGCTCATCGTTGAATTTTTCTACAATACAACTTAAACTGTATTTCAGAATGTTAGCTTATACATAACAACAAAGTTTTTTCTTGTTGTTATGATTTTCATATTTGGGTATTAAATAATACTAATACACAAATATAGGAAAACACATTATTTTCTTTTAATCATACAAATTATTATTTTTTTTTAAATTTCAGGCATAAGAGCAAAAATTCAAGGGAAGGGGGAAATTGTTTTTTGTGAAAATGTCATGGGAGAAATCAGGTAGTGAGAAAGTTGCCTGCTCCCATATTTACACATATAACATTTTATTGTGTAACTGCTTCTTTTTTTTAAATGTTTTACAAAGCAAAAAAAAAAATGTAATAAATTCTTCACGGTGACTAAAGTTGGTGTCCACTCACCTAAAGCCTCAATAGTCTTCTTTGTTTCTTTACATAGCTTAGCACAGAATGGATTCTCCTCCGTCAAGATAACCTGCACATCATTCCGTGTGATCTCTACTTTCCTGGAAGTCAGGTACGGAAATACACTATATATTCCCTACATATGAATAAAATTTTAAAAAGTATTAGAAATCTACTGAATATTTCTCTGGGGGGAAAATTTGGAAAACCGGGGATGAAGATTCTACTTACATCTTGGGCTAGTCTAAAGTCACAATCTACTCCTTTGGCATCACTCCTGGACCACACTTTAACTCCACAATTAATAACCTATACAATTGGAAAAAAAAATCATTAAGAAGTTATAGCTTGCAATCTACAGGGATATTTGAAGCTTTGAGTCACGAGAAATCGACCCTTGCCTTTACAGACGTTGTAAATCAAATACTCTACAGTTTCATATAAGATGAGCATCCCACTCACAGCTCCATGCTAAACTGTTGATATATTGTAAAGTAATGAGAGGAGCATTTTAGGAAAATCAGTTTACTCTCTTGCTAAACTTACCTTCAGTTTATTTTCACAGGCTTGCACAATCTCGCATACAGCACTGTTCACCATATAAAGGTTTCGTTTCTTGCCAACATGGCAGCGTGTAAACATCTGATTCAGTGGGAATTCATCTTTGACACCATAATACAACCTGCAGTAATATACAATGTACAATATGGTAAGGAAAAACAGAGGTCATTGCGCGTTCCCCTCCCACCCCCCCCCTTTTGGAAAGTGAAAAAAAAATAGTAAAAAGAAAGAAAAAGAAATAACTGATTGCCCGAAATGCCTCAGAGGTTATTTTCGGGCATCTGAAAACAAAATTTCCACACCTAATATGTGGTGGTGTCTCGATCGGCCCCACTTTCGGCCTCCTTTTTGACATCTCTGGATCCGCACCTGTTCTGTAATCTAAATCCTCGGACAATTTAATAAAGAATGACATACGTTACTGACAAACAGATGTATGCTTTTAAACCAGACATCTTCCTAACAAGTACTGTATTTTTTTTCTTTCACTGTGTACTGTGTTGTCTCCCAGCACACAAAGGCTGCTGGCTTATATAAAAATTATGGTAAAACTGCACATATATACATTTCATACAAAATATGCAATACCTGTAGGTCAACACACTACAAGTAGACACTTGTCAAATATTGATTTAATACCAATAAAATAAGTGCCAATTTCAAGAAATGAGGTGACATGCAAAAATTGTCATAATATATTTTAGTGCAATAAACTAGCAAGCAATACCATCTGCTGTGAGGAATGATGTAGCCCCCATTATGTATCGCACAACTACAATATCAGAATTAACCAAATGCACTAAGAATTTCATCAACCAGTTTCCATATAAAGCAAACATACTTACTTTATTGCAGGCCAAACATCAACATCATCTTTAAAAAACACAAATGGATCTTCTTTATACACATTTTGATATTTCATTTTCTTTGGTTTTGGTCTGCAGAACATAAACAAGTAAATAGTTATTAGCTATATCTGTGATAATTATTAAAAAAAAAAAATAGAAAGCAACCATAATATTAAGACCACAAAGCTGTAACTCGTCCATTGGACAGTAGATTGAGAACTACCCTCCTGGCAAAGATGAAAATGTACTCGTCAATGGCAATCTAATGGAACCGTCACTGGGTCCAACTTGAAACTGTCTCTTATACACATCTAGATGTGTATAAGAGACAGATAATAAAGATCTCAGATAACTGTAATGCCAGAATACTTTCTTTATTCGTACTCTCACATGTTCCGAACGTGTATTAATAACATTACGTAATTTCCATTTCCAGGGCATCAATAAGAATAACCCTATGTACAACACTAGAATATGGCACCAAAAAACACAGTCCACTTCAATTATGACAGATTACATATGTAAATACATCTGCAGAACTATTTTATTTGTTACATGTTACTTGGTAATTATTGCCTTTCCCTTAGGTTACGATGCACTTTGTTTTCCATAGTCATTGGGCCCACATGCTTAAGTGTTGCTGCGATATTGGCGCAGTAGCAGGCAACTTGTGTCAGTGTATACTAAAATCAAACTAAAATTCTACACAATGATATAACATGGTAGACCTCTTACTCTTCCTCAGCCTCCATTAGTTCATTGCCAACTGTCCCTTGTTGATCATTTTCTTCCTTCCTAGCTTTATTATTTTCTTCATGTACTTCATCAGTTTTTATATTTAAAACATCGCCAGGCTGTCCTCCATCATCCGTTATCTTTACATCTTTTGTCACTTCTTCCATATATGAAGGCTCATGTAGTTTCTCTGCATCTTCATTTTGTGGATTATTAGTTGCTTCTAACGAAAGGAAGAAATAGAAAAGTTAAGATAATAAAATGCAAGTTGGCTCATGTGCACTTTAAAGCACCCAATAAATCTTTTTGAGCAAGTAAGGTTTAACCTGGTATACTGATCTATACTGCTCCTGTTGTGGACATACAAGAGCAGATGGCACCTGCTTACCGGGTGGCTAAGACACAAAGTGACCCAGGGAGAAGGATGTTACTCTACATTCTAGTCCACATTTTGACTGACTTTAATATAAAGGGCCATACAAATCTAAGTACATCAGATTACTGTTGAGGATGCTTATAGTATTAAGGGTTTTTACAGTTCACAGCATTCAATGTTCATCATTTTTTTCTGCTCCATTAGTCACAGGTTCGTATGGCATGGCATTTCTTTTTTTCTATTAATTATTTTATTATTTTTTTTTTTTTTGACTAGAAAATAGAAAATCATATTTTCAAATAATAAGAGTCTTAGTCCATGATCGACTTTTATGTAACTAAAGCGCACTGAGCAACTGGTGGCAGGAACTCATTGGACTTCAAAGGCATCTCGATAAACTGACTATACGCACTGCAGCACTTTGCTCTTTGCATGCAGTCACAGCTAAGATAAGTGATCTCCTTCTCACTAAGAACTTCATGTTATCATCTACTTGCAACAAAAATTTAATTGGCAGGTTATGATGAAAACACCTAATACCAACAAGTCAACACAATCAAAAAAGGATCATGGAAAATTTTTCTTCTAGACAGTAAAATTACCTTTCTTAGCATTTTCTTTTGCCTTCCCTTCCTTGGACCATGGAAGGTGTTCTGTCTTCTGCAATACAGCCACGAAGAATCCTCCAGAATCCTCATGATGGGGTAGCATTCTTATACTGCAGTCATTTATACAAGAAATAGATGTTAATGAAATAACAACATAAATTACTTTATTAGACTTTCAACTTTCACTGATAAAGAATCAAATAATTTCATTTAATAAGGTCCTGAATATCAGCTGACCTCCTAGATACACTAGAAGGGTCATCTTCTATAAAGTAAAGTATCTCAATCTTCTCACATTTATTATTTTTCTTCAGAAAGCCAGACAGACTACATCTCTCATGAATGCAAATATAAGAGAGGAATCAAAAATTTAAGAGAAAAAGTATTGTTCACAAAAGATGGATTTTGTTACTCGAAAAGAACATAGCATTTTGGAAGATAACAGCAACACACGACTATGAATTATTCAAAGTTGACAGTGTGAAATTGAACTTATTGACATTTTCCGATGAATCATATTTTTAAAGATAAAGTACCCGAGGTGAAGAATGATCGAAGCTACAAAAATCATCTTGTAATTCTAATCAAAATTTGATTAGAGTTAAAAGTTAAAATTTTTCAACAGCAACTGTTTAAAAAATATACCGTTGTTGTTGTTTCAGATAGCTCAGCAATGTGTTGTCATTTCTAATCAAAGAGAATTTAGGATATTAGAAGAGAAGAGCAACACAAAACCACGAATTAATCAAAGTTGACAATTAAACTTGATGAAGTGAGCCATGTATTTGCTAAATGGATTTAATCTTCAATTAAAGACAATTAGAAGTAGCCAAGGTGAAAAAATATCTAAGCTACAAAAATCACCTCCACTTCTGAAGGAGAACAAGTTTTAATTTCCTATGATTTGTTAATTAGAACTTTGCCAGGAGCAGGTGTTTCTTTATGCACATTTCTTTTATTTTCTCTCTTTTATTATGTAAATTTGATATAAAGGAAACAAGCTAAGGCAGCATAAAGCACAGTTGGTTTTTAACCTGCAGTAAAGCAGTTGGTTGTTAAGCTTGCAAGGAAGTAGAGTTGGTGTTTAACTACTCAGTACAAGTGGAACTTTTTGTGCTTAGCTAGTGCCTGGGGTGCAAGTTTTTTTTTTATCCTCTTTACTTCCCCTTATATACTGCATTCTCTCATTTTTACAAAGCAAGGCCTATCATAGTTGATGTTGGAAAACAAAGGCTACATTATAATAGGCATATATTATTAGGAGTGGGTGGGGCTGTCAAATTTGGACGTACAAAATTATGTCGACCCGCCGCCGGTCTCAACAGATTGGAACTGGCCACCACCTTAAAAAGGTGAAATATGCGAGGAATATATAAAGAAGCTAAACACAGAGGTCAGAGCAACAACATTGTCAACATACACTGAAAACACAAGCATGCAATTAAATATTTAATAGGGCTAAAATTTAATACATCGGGGAGGGGGAAGGGGGTTCAAGTTTCGAACAAGGAAATAACTATTGAGTCTGATTTTTAGAATTTCTGGTGCATTGGGATTCAGATAAAAACTAATTATACCAGACCTTCCAGTGAAGTGGATAGATCACAAAAATTGCAAAATGTACATGTTGACAGAGTTGTTGGACTAAAGATTTCAAAATCCTTATTATACCGATTTCACAAGTGGGCCTATCAACCATGTAATGATTAATTTGTATCTGCTGGTTGTAAACAGAGGTACTGAAGTCATACAACTTGCTAATAAATAGTGTATGGTTCTTTTCCATGATTATGATCTCCATCACCATAAGATACAGGATATGGACTATTATTGTCAACAATGTCAGCCATATCAATTCGGTAATTTGTTGTGTTGGCTTCAGGCATCAAAGGAAGCTGGTAAATTACAGTTTGGACAGAGAAGATACAATCGCATCTCACGGAAGCAGACAATTCTCACTTTGTGTCTCACAACGCGACGAATGAGGTAGCTAAGTAGATATTGATGAGCGAGATAAAAAGTAACAGTAGAATATTAACAAAATACTATCTCTAGTAGTACAAAGTTATCTTAAAATCATTATTACCATCATTACATTTCAATAAAAAACAGATTTCTAAATTGCTGGACAAGGTAAAGAGAACTGCATTTTCAATGCCATATCAGTTGCTATCACTGTGAATGAACTACAGGCACCAGAGCTACGAGTAAGGGCAGTGATAGAAATGGTCGAGCAACGTGAGCATTATGGGAAAAATCAAGATTGCACGGTGTTCCTCCAGATTATGATGTCCCGAGTCAATGCCCGCAGGATGGGGTATATTCGTCCTGACACTGCATGCTGCTGCATCTATTAGGAGGACTACAGTGTCTGTATACCCACCCTGGGATATGGGACAAATGCTTTAGAGTATTCAACCGACAGTTCCAAGCAAGGAAGATCCATTTTAAAAAGTGGCAGCAGTTTGACTACATGTGGTAACTGGATCCTGAATCATTTCGTTCCACTCATACCAACCAAGAAAAGATGGACGTTATTTACATTTCATTTAGTACGGACTCTTCATCTGTTTATATAGTAATGTAAAACATTGTTCAAAAAGTCAAGGAGGAAAGTTTTCTGCATACATAAAATGTATGTTATTAATATGAAACAGGTATGAATTGTGGGATAAAATTTTAAAAGTGAAAGCATAGAAAGTTAAAGCATTACATCATGTCCCAGTAAAGCTTTTTCTTTTTGTTTGGCTTAATTAAAATGTATTTATTAGTACCTTTCTTTTAGTCACATATGGATTGGCCATACATATAAGCGAGGCAAAAGCAGGTCCTCTCTGCAAAAAGCAGATGCAAAGAAAAGAGCCAAAACCCAGGTGTCACCTATATCTCAGGTACGGTATGTGAACTCCAAGAATTATGTGTGTCAAGTCCTCAGAAGCCATTGACTTATGAAATAGCATCTTTTTAACATGCTTTCTAATGTTACAAAATAGGCAAACATAATAGCATTTCTTAGTATATATTTTTATTTACAATTTATAATAGCTGAAAAGCGATCCAGACATGCCCCGGCCATTGGGAGACTCCTTTGGTACATCAGCCTACTACAACAAAAACATGGCCGGCGGAACCAGGGGCCTGGGCCCCCACTTTTTGGCAGAAAATATATAATGTCAATGTAGATTTTTGTAAATCGGAAGAAATGCAGAAAGTGGGGAGGAGAGGGAGGGGAAAGCGAGTGTTTATCCAGTCCCCGACCGAGTTACATTTTTATCTGTGCCTACTGGAAATTTTAGAAGTTTGATGAAATGCCTCCTGCCTTACTCTATAGCAAACAGACATGCACAGCATCGTATTTGCCCCAATACTTTGCGGACTTCGGAGCCTGATCCTGTGCTTCGGAGGATCAAATACCAGTCTTGCTTGCACGTTATATACGCTGAAACACTGCCTTACAATGAAGAAATGGCTTTTATAGAGAAACATTACAGTTCAGATATCAATACAATATGGCTAAGAACTCAGATCCCCTTTTTGAAGAACTAATTGCTTTCTGGGGATTACACATGTTTTGATAAAGTGTATTCACAGGTCCAGAAACTAGGTGGTACCAAAAAATGTTGATATCTGAATTCATTATCCTCAAACTAATGCTAGTAACCCTGCAAGCAACCAACCAACCAATCAACGCAGTCGGCAAAAAAACCTCTTCGACCGCAAGACACCTTAAAACATGGTTAAGATCTTCCATGAACGAGTTGAGATTTAATAATCTTGCTATTTTTAATGTCCACAAAGAACACCTCAATGGAATCGACTTAGCAGAAGTTGGAAACGAGTTCATTGCAAAAAATGACCGCAGGAAAACATTACTAGGCGTTTTTTACAGGCAAGACTCTTGAGATATGTGCCATTTTATGAAGCTGTTGACGTCAACACTTTCAGACAAAGTAACTCTGGAACCACAATACTATACTATCAATATATTGACAATTTTGTGAATGCCTGTATAGTTTCGAGTAATCATTTAAGAGTAAACCAAAAAAAAAAAATGATAACAATATATTTAAAGCAGTAGAATCATACCATCTATGTAGGTTAAATTGTTCAGCATTGGTTGGGGGCCACATCGTTGTACGGTACCGTCTTTCATTGGCTGGCACTTCATCAAGGTTCTGGATTTCTTTACCATCTGCAATAACCTTAAAATGAATAACATTTTAGTGAATTACATAGTATATTTATAGATATAGTGGGTGATTTAAAAATCAGTTACATTCATTAACATTAACAATAGTTTTAATAATGAAATTGGTGTATTAGGGTCTTAAAATTATTGTGTCAACTTAATAAAGCATAAAACATATAGCAGTAACATATACTCTTTTAATCCTGGTGAATAACAGACATGCAGTCAAAAATAATCCTTTTTTGAATTAAGCAGTATAGAATTCTCTCAGTTACTGAATCAACACAATATAAATCATAATTGGAGAGCCTGTGGTCCTGGAAAAAAAACTGATGCATATTTATCATTACATGGGCCATGGCTCTAGAAACTGTGAGCTCATAGCACGTAGCCAGCAGCAGAAAATCAAGAAGAACACTTTTAATTTTCCTTATATAATATTTAGTTGTTTGGCTCCACTAGGATAAATGACTTATTTTCTAACAAATACAAATATTATTATTGTATGAAACAATAGTTTTAGGTATCTACTTCAATATTTACCTTCCATGAACTCATCCCGGGCATTCTCCGTAACCCTGGCAACATTGTTGATGTGTCCACTAGCTCAATAGTACCTGCAAGTGGAAATGACAAAATAAAAGAACACAATCAAGAATGACATAAAATATCCACAAAATATTTATATATTTCAATTATGAATATTTTCAATATGCGTAGACCTACAGTATCTTGTAAACCTTTTATCCACAATGCAATTTATGTACTTGCTTGTGTTTTCTGAAATAAACATACCTTGATATATACATTTGGCAAAAAAAAATTGCATATGAATATTTTTGAAAATGAGCTTAAAAAGTAGGCTGATGGACACTTTTGTCACCACCTGTGAGATGCATGTAAAAGTTACCTTGTGACTTTTCAAGAATTGCAGCTACAACTGCTTCATTTTCAATTGGATTAAATGAACACGTTGAGTAAATGAGACGACCACCAACTTGCAACAATTCAATTCCCCTCAATAATATACGGTACTGTAAGCTAAAAAAACACTTTCACTTAATACCTGAATTGAAATACTATTTGCAAAGGCTTGACAATCAAACAACACATTGCTAATATACGGTATCAAAAATGTGATCATGATTGTGATGTTGGGAAGACAAAAAAACAAGTGGCAGGTTTCTCTGTTGCCCAACAATATATTAATATAACAACATGTTAATATAAGGTATTAACAAAAATATACTGTAGGCTTCATAAAAGAATGAAAAAAAAGTAGTTTATGGTACCCAACCCTTCCTTAATAATCCTCACCCACCTGTGTAAATTCAAAGCACTGCCAAGGTTCCATTTCTTCCAAATCATATAGTTCTTGCGCAATGTTCCATCGCCACTATAAGAAAAAAGATTTAGATTGTAAACAAAGACATAACAAGTATAATTTTGAGAAATATATTATTAAAAACATTTAAAAATTAAAATATATAGTAAAGATTTACAAACTAAAAAGGTTATTTGACGGATAAAAAAAAATAGGTTTAATGGAGTTCCACACTTGGAAAGTGACCAAATTGTTGTGTAAAAAAAAAATAGGAAAATGCAATAAATACAACAAAAACAATAGTACTAGATTTTCCCTAACTAGAGCCCATTTTCCTTCCCACAACAAGTGGGCAAAACAATAACTTTCCTAGAACTATATTCTATGCGCAATTATACCAGGAAGACTTGTTTTGGTTTAAATACATGATTCATGTCTATGCTTGCACCAGTGTGGTAGCTTCACATTACCAGAGCCAGGTCAATATGATTGAGTACAAACAGTATCATTATTGCGCTGAATTTAATATAAGCATGGTCCGTGACTACTGTAGCAGCCGTTGGGAGACGCTTATATCACATCATTCCACGACAGGAGCTTAAGTGAACCATGTCATCGGGTAAGCCCCTACTCTTCCAAAAGATGCAATGGGTTCTTTAAACTGCACATGAGCCAGACGTATATACACTGGACCTCCCAAGTCCTAATCCAAGAATACTTAGTTCTACCAAGGAGTGGAGAAGTGGCTTATAAAAGCGCCGATGTTAGGCTGTAGTTAGCGGCGCTCCTGCCTTACCACTCGCCCACTTGTCCTATAAGTCATTTGATAAGTAGAGAATACATGGCACCTACCTACACGGCACATCACAGAGTATCCGATCATATCTTATAGGGATTCTTTTGCCACATTTGTCCGTAAGCATCAACGAAGGTAGGAGAGAAGCGTCATGGTTAACGATCATAAAACAAGGACTGTTGAGGCGCTTGGCCTGGTGAACCATGATGTAGCATCGCTTGTTGTCCGAGTCATTCGCAATTACAAATCCCTCTGAAATGAGAGCACAAAATTGTTAGTCATTTATAATAATGTGACTTACCCCAGTCTTTGCATAACCATCAATGCAACAAATACTGCTGGAAGATTGGTTTTTAAACCTACCAGGTACAAACTTGTACTGCTAATAATGTTGCATATGCCTATAACTTTGTAAATGTTTTGTATTCTTCTATTGTACCAAAAGGAATGCTGCACTTTAATGATGAAGTTCCTTTACACTTTTTTTCCCCAAATCTTTCAAATACAAAAAAACACCTAATTACTATTTATTCTTGAGTAAGAATAGGGCTAGACCAATATGGTTTTATGGTAGACAACAATATAAACAGTTGATTCGGACCATTTATTCTGAAATACTGTATAACTTATGTTTTACCACTCATTTAATTTTTGTACCTTGTTTAAAAATAAATCAAATCAAACCATTTACAATAATGCTGGACAAATTAAATCAAAACAATAAACCACTACATAGCACTTGTGTGGGAATGGTAAGGGATTGCACTACTACTACAGTTCGGCACCTTTTCAGAAATCTGTCTAAAATGATACAGTACTATAACAACACCCTAGTGAAGTCTTGTATAGCGATATAGCGCCATCTATAGAATGACTGGTTGTTTGGGTAGCAGGGTTTTTCAAACTGCAAGTTTGAATAAATAAAACAGGTTATGATTGATGGTAGTACTGTATTTTCCATTTTAGACAGGAGGCTCACTCAAGCACTGTATATATACTGTCTCTTATACACATCTTACACTGGACCTCCCAAGTCCTAATCCAAGAATACTCGGTTCTACCAAGGAGTGGAGGAGTGGCTTATAAAAGCGCCGATGTTAGGCTGTAGTTAGTGGCGCTCCTGCATTACCACTTGCCCACTTGTCCTATAAGTCATTTGATAAGTAGAGAATACAAGGCACCTACCTACACGGCACATCACAGAGTATCCGATCATATCTTATAGGGATTCTTTTGCCACATTTGTCCGTAAGCATCAACGAAGGTAGGAGAGAAGCGTCATGGTTAACGATCATAAAACAAGGACTGTTGAGGCGCTTGGCCTGGTGAACCATGATGTAGCATCGCTTGTTGTCCGAGTCATTCGCAATTACAAATCCCTCTGAAATGAGAGCACAAAATTGTTAGTCATTTATAATAATGTGA